AGTTGTAGCTGACACAATGAGGAAACCTTTTTGAGGGGGGTTCTAGCTGTTGGAAAACCAAATCTCATCATAAACTTGTGATTTGATCCCGATTTGCGGCTTTATGCAGTTCGAATTCACAATGACATTGTCTGATAGCCTTGGTGTTCTGGAAGGATTGTGTATGCATTATGCCTCAACAAGCCTTAACAAAAAAGTTCGCAGCATTGGCAGGCTGGCAGCCCCCAAAACAGAAAGAGACTCATGCTTTGTAGTAGGGCCAAACAGTAAGTGTTTGGAGTTTGCAAGTCTAATCAATTTATGGTATGCATTCAATGCAAATCTAAACACAATATTGCCATAATTTTACTTCAATCTGTAATTTTTCAGCTCATGTTGAATTATTTTAATCAATACTTTCACCCAAAAAAGGAACTAGATTCAGACACACAGGTGCACCTGGTCTATATCTGGCCATGTACGTATGATGCAAATCTTCAATAGGATGCAACCTACACTAACAATGAATTTTCTCTATTTTTCTGTTTATGCAAAAAAAAATTGTCAATCTATTTAGCACAACAGCATTGGATAACCTGGGACCTGCTTCCTACAAGTTCATAACATGTGAAGCAAACATGGCAATTACATAACTAAATTCAATTTTGCACATTATATTGATGTTTCTAACCTCATCATAACCAGTAAGCCACACACGAGGAGTTTGATAATATTTATCATACCTGGAAGAAGAAAAAGGAGACTGGAACATTAGACCATAAATAGCAAACATAACAAATGAAAGTTCCATCATAACAGCAAACCCATGAGAACTAAAACAGCGCGCGCGCACACACACACACTATATTAGAACTAAAAATAGAATGAATGGAGTCGAACTTACGTGATGCTGACATCATAAGTTCGAGTTCGTAAGATGTTGTCATCATCAGGTTCATGAGCAACGAGATATGTCGGCTGAAGGGTTGCCTGAATATTAAAATATACAAATTCATGTGTGGAAGAGAAATTATCAGAGCTGTCAAGAGGCAAGATATATTCTCGTCACGCTTTTGTTTCTAACCCTTCTAATAGGTATCCCTCAAACTCCTAACAAATTTAGTCTATTACTGGTTTCAAGTTGAAATTTTCAAATACATATATATATATATATATATATATATATATATCCTTTGCTTATGGAATAGCAACTTTCACATACTTATCACATGACCTTAGGCAACGACATAGTATAGACAAGGCACAAGGGGTTTAACCCTTGTCTTCATAGTTCATATGTTTGTTTCCTCGGACCACATCATCTAAACTAACCAAGGATAAGTCCTACAAGCCAAATAATTCCACTGAAACTAGATTAGAAATAACAGCAAAAGATAGCATGTATCTTACAGGATCTGACTCAATAACGTTGTCAGGTTCTTCAAACTCTTCCATGTCGGGGATGTCTTCTTCCTCCTCATTGCCAAAATGTGAAGAAATTGACTGGATGGTGTTCTTCTTGCTAATTTCTAGGGTCTCCATAGAAGGAACATTTTCCTCCTCGTGACCCTTGGTATCTATATAATAGTCAAACCAAGTTCAACACATAAACAAAGTTCATCCTACAGATATCTTAGTTGGCTCTACATACCTTTTGGCTGTCCATGAGTAGCCAACCAACCATCATTATCGTCATCATCGAGCAATATCTCACCTCCTGCGGCTTCATACTCTTCTTGTATTGATGCAACTCTTCGCAAACAAGGAACTGAATGAAGTCCACATTAAACTTACAAGAGATATTACATAAATAAAAATTACGTGAATAATTCGTGTCCACGTGGAGAAGGGGACAGGGAAAAGGGAAACCCAAGGCAAATCAATGATAAAGATGAATACTTTTTTTACTTTCTAAGCCAGGAGGAGAGATGCAACAACGACATTTCTTGAATGAACATCACAATGAGAAAAATTAATATTTGCATAAGAACAATAGGCCATTCTGGTTAAACTTTTCTTCCATGCCATTCACGATGAAAGTTTAGTCTTTCCATGGTAAACGTCCTCCATGAGAATCGTTTCACTGGGTGCAGACGCCACTCCCCCCAAACACACACACACACACACACCCTTCTCTCTTCTATGCATGATTTATGAGGGATGTTAATCATACAAAAAAAAAACCCCAAATGACCAATCTTATGGCATATTTTCCACACAACCCCCATCCGCTCTGAAATGATTGAATAGCTGTGTAGCTGACCAATGAAACAAATCAATGGTTAAGCTATTAAAGAGGAAGGGGGAGGAGCAATCCACCAAAAGATAGGGCACACAAACCCTAGAAGAAGAAATCATGCCAGCGAGAAGGTGACTATCTTGATGTGGAAACCCCTATACAGATTTTGGCAAACTACAAGTTTGTAATTATGCAAGATTCAAAGAGGAAAAGATAGTTAATGTTAACTATGACTATTCATTGTTTCCTTTTGTATAGTTCATAAGCAACTCATGTACGAAAACAAAAGATAAGAACTAACGATACAAGGATAATTCATTTAAAATCTGAATTAAGTATCAGGACAACAGGCAACATTATTTTACCATTTCTAGTGATCAAAAATTGTTTATCAGCTGGCAAATATGACTTCCTCTTGTTTGAATCACCTGATTCCCTAACAAAGAAATAAACAAAGCGAAAGTGAGTGGTAAGCTCGAATATCATATAAGAAATCACCCATTCCTCTTCTAATGAGGGGATGAAAGAATCCTGCCCAATCATCAGCTTGTATTCATTCATTCTTGTTTTTTCAGCTGACAAGAAACCCTGTTGACAGAAACCCCTAGAGAGCTCATGAATAATGTATATTTTCACCGGTCACAAATTTATGTTATAAAAATATCTTATCCTTGTTTTTCAGTCAGACTAAAGCTCATCGAAAAGAACTTCTAGAGAGAACACATGTTTAAAAGTTAAGGCCTTACAGACTCTAAATGAATAAAGTTCTAGGGTGTAAATCATAATGCATATATTTCAATGGCAACAAATTAATTTTGTAAGCATTATCAGAATTCTCAAGGAAATAGGAATGTAACGAATTAAATTTGGTCAATATATATAACACCAACATCATAGAGGATAATGTTTTTGTTGTCCTATCAACATGATTACTTCTTGTGTATAAGAATATCATATGGACATAAAGCTGCAGTCTATAGTAGCTCAATTCAAATTTCCAAAGTACCTCCTATAATTTGAGAAAAAGAGAAGCACTTTTAGAACAATATTAGACATTTTCTTTCACAGATATACCACCAAGCAATGTTAAACCTTTTGATTGATAAGAATAAGGAAACGTAATTATTGAAAGTCCAAATGTAACAGACTCTAGAGGAACAGAAGGCAAAAACAATGTCCATCAGTACTATGTTCCATTATGGAATGGTGAAAAGAAGCCAATTGATAGTATAAAAAAGTCTAACTTGGGTGGTCATGAGCATAAGCTTTCTGTATATGTTACTCAGTTTTTTCATCGCTTGCTAATATGCAGAGTACAAATTGGAGGACTACATAATGTTTGTTAATGCCATATTAATATATCACAAAGGACTATGCTATCAAATACAGCTTTGAGACATAAAACTTTGTACAAGTTATACTTTTGCACCATCAATGACATCCTACAAAACAAAATTGACATGATCCTGTACTCTTTAAACAGCTTGCAATAACAGCAGAACGTTTCGTTCTTATGAATTAAGTTTGGTAAGGGCCCACCACCCACTTCCATAAACACATAACTGCTCGTGGAAATGTGCAATTCCACAACCTGCTTCTGCTGTGGCAGCAAGCAGCCATCATGCTTCTATGCAAGACGATAAACTTGAACCGACGACAGAAAGCAGTAGTTGCAGTATGTAACGTTATCAATACTTCCTCAAATAACGTTTAAGCAACTTATTTCAGTTTTGATTCACAATATGGATAACATAATGGAGTTATAAGCGTCAACAAGCACTATTAGATCCCAGTTTCTAGGCAAGTTACTTTTCTTAACCCTCCAAATCAATACCGCTTCTAATAACATTAATCGTGATTCAAATATTGGATGGACAGCGCTGAATAAATTTAAGGAAAGGGAAAGCGAATCTACCATGACCAAGTAGGACACTTGGAAACGAGATTGTCTCCAGCGATGACGAATTCATTAACGCTAAGTACGCCTTTCTCTTTGAAAGCAGATACAGTCCTAGGGTTTGTGATCCTCTCAACCGTACCTTTGAATGCCTCGTGAAGCTTTTGCGATAAAACCATCTTGGTCAAACACGAAAATAGGATTGGAATGCAATCGAGCAACGAATTTATACAAGATCAGAAACTGGATGGATCAAAAATCAGATCGGTGAAGGGTTTTGGTTTGGGTTTGGATTTGGATTTGGATTTGGATTTGGATTTGCGTAGTAAGGTGGGTTTCCGTTGATCATTACAAACTCCAACACGGGTAACGTTACAAACCTATACATTTTTTTCGATGACCGTGTAGTTTTGTTATTAAATGCTTCAAATCCCATTGAATCTTACAATATTATGAGTAAGGATCTTAATTTTACTTGTATGGTATTTTGTCATAGTTAGTATTTATCGGGTAAATTGTTGTATACGATGTTTTTTTGTTAACTAAAATCTTATCTGATAAGTAAATAAATGGTGAGGGTTAAATTTTATCGATAAACGCTTATCGGCATAATCTCTATTTCAAAAGTTTGTTTGGATTACTTTTTTTGTGCATTTGGCCACCCGGAGAGCCAGAGTATCGATGATCAAGTACCCCAAAAAAAAGGTTAAACAATTTGTTCTAAAACTTAAACTTGAAGATGTTGCTCCTCTGCTTTTGCATCATTTGCTAAACATAATCAAAATCCAATTGGCTAGGTGACATTAAAATCTTGTCGAACTTTAATACATAAAAAGCTGAAAATTTTGCATGTTTATGGTGGATGGTTCCCCATCTGGTAGAATAGTATATGAGATATGATACAGGACATCTTACTTCCAAATGAAGTACATGTACATTTTGGGAATGGGTAAAGATGAATAGGTATCCATTAATAAGATTACTTACAATTTTACCAATTATTCTCGAACGTAGCTACCCTTTAGATCACAGTAGTCAAAATTATTAACTCCACAAACAATAAGCAGCGCATGCTAAATACTAACTATATAGAAAATGAGTATAGCAAGCACCTTAACATAATCTAAAATATTTTCGTACTTGTAAAAGCTAACGGTTATCAACCTGACAAGTTAGAGCATCATAAAAATCAAAACTTGTGCAAGAGACACATAACGGGTGCAAAATAAGTATTATAGTAATTACTTAACGTATGGTCAATCATCCAAAATTCCAATGTTTTCTAACAACATAACGTTAAAAATATCTCGATCTAATTAAAATCCAAAAGACCAAAAATAAATGAAGTAAACAAAGAATGCACATGAGAATTTGTATGTGAAAAATGGGCTATCAAGTAGTGCAACCAAAGAATCACAAATGAAGGTAAGCATACATAATTAGGAGAATTGTACCTTAATTGAGTTGAATGTGGCATTATATAGAGAGGGAAGAGCATGCCACCAACATACGCACCTCCTTACAAAATTAGATGTGTTTTCGTGCTAAACCCTATAAAAAGGTGATAGTCTATGAGCCCAAAACGATCACAACCCTCATCCATAAAGTTACTTGATGAAATGATCAACATCAAGTATTTTCTTAAAGTCACTAGAACATATATTTCAAATCTTAAATCATATTTCATGTAATGGTAAGTGCGGTATTTAAGTATTTAGCAACTGCAACAATGTCTCATAGATGCATACACTAATAACAAAATAGAATGCTAGTCACTCGAGTGGGTGACTAATAGTGCAGTATTTAAGTATTTAGCAACTGCAACAATGTCTTATAGATGCATACACTAATAACAAAATAGAATGCGTACCCTAATAACAAATTTCATGGGTGAATGTGGGTGTGGGGCTGTTAACAGGGTATGTGGATAAATAACTCAACATATGTTGTTTTAAAACATGTATATTTAACATTAAAATTTATACCTCTTAAAAATTCAAAAAATAACCATAAGTGATATTTTATAAAGAAATATATATCAAATATAAGTACTAAAAATAATTCGCACATATTTAATAGTATAATTAAATTCAAATGTATTCAATTAAGCTTATTTTAGAGGTCTTGATGAGCCGATTATAGTGATGTAATTTGTATAAAAATAAACATATTTTTCTTAATATATGATTATGTATGTTAATATGACAAATATGTAAAATGAAAAATGAAAAAGCAGGAGATCTAAAATAAAATAAATAATTAATTATAAGGATATAAAATATAACTTAAGAATTAAAAATAATTTGATTTTAATATGATATTTGGAACCTCATGAGAGTTGTTGAACTTCAAAACTTATAAATCATGTATAAAATTCAAAAGAGTAACCATTTAACATGCTTTGTAATACAATACATGTAGAATAGATTTGTAACAAAAAAAGAAACATATTTTAAATTATCGTTAAATACGATAAAAGTGCAAAATAAAAAATGAAAATGTAAGAAATACAAAACAAATTAATTTGTATGATTAAATAAAAAAAATATTCAATATTGAACTTATTTTGAAAGTAATTGACGACACAATTCGTTGTAGACAAAGAAACATATTTTTAATTTCTTTTAGTTCATATTTTCTATGGTAATAACAAATAAGGATTAATTTAGATGAAACAATTAATTGTAAGAGTATAAAATGTAATTTATAAATAAAAATAGTTTAATAGGAGTTGGTGTCTGCAAAATACACGATTTGAACGGCTAACATTTAGTATAAATTTGATCAAGTAGTGGATACAAAAATGAGAGTGTTTTGACTCACCATCATCAATATGATATATAATTTAACAAATATTTATTGATTAGTCTATAGTTTACATACAAATCAACGTTAGTCGTTCATATATTTAATATCTATTTTATAATTTAAAATCATGATTTATAATTGAGAGTTTTTATTCATGGTATGTTTTCTGTTGAGTTAAAATGAAGGCAAACTAAAAAAGACGAGAGAGATTAAAGAAACATCCGATACGAAGAACTGGAGCAGTGATTCAACAAAAAAGATGGTTGTACAAGTTTTGGGATCTTGATAGTTGGAATTGCTTAGGAAAGAACCATTGTTTGCATCTTGAAAAAAGGGGGTTATATTATTCTCAATCACACATTTACAATGCACCTCTCTTTTTACTCACATACCCCCTTAGATATATATAATATACATATATATATATATATATATATTATAGAATGAAATATAAATTTAAATGTAATAAATCTGGATCTTACGATTTATCTCCCGTGGCCGTGAGTGTGATCCCTGTTAATCCGCATCCTAGATCCCCACCCCATTTCAACAACCAAATCAAGAACGCCTCCATTATCCAAACGGGAACATCCTAGTTTTGTTTGTTTTGACTCGCAGATTGAAATCTTCATACCATCCTTCCCATTTTGAGAAAAAGTTCCATCTTTTATACATCAACTTTTGTGGGGTTTATCAATTATGAAGAGAAATGGAGATTATTCGATGCCACATGATGACTCTCAGCCACATATCCAATATGATATTGATGCTGCTGACAAACCCTCAATTTTAGCTTCAAATTTCTTCATGGATCAGGTTGGGGAGATTCTTCTTACCCTCAAACCAGATGGATTATCTTGGAAATTGATGGAATCTCTTTCAAATGTTAGTTTCTCCAGGTTACATTAAGGTGCTTTTGTTAATATAAACCATGAATTTGGTTGATTTTCTTATTCATGTTGATTATTGTTAATATCAATTATTCATACTCAATGTCAATGGCTACCCTCATGTTCTTTGCAACATTTACAGAAGCCATATATGGTAATCAAATATGATTTATGTATTAACTTCAAATTATGTCCTAAATTCAAACCACAACTTGAACCTACTTAATGCAACACTTTTTGGGATTCAAAAAGGATTGTTGATATGAAAGGAGGTTCGCTCAATTAGAAGCTACGGTATCATTGCTTATTTTATATGGTTTGATCATCTACCATGCCCTTCTTTAGATTATAAGGGTTATATGAGGGTAGAGGGAGGTTTAGGGGATGTTATCCAAATGTGCATGCAAGTAATTGAAGTTGTTTTTTTGGTTTTTATGCCCGTGTGCATGTTATGCATACCGGACAAATTGCTTATAAATCACTTGTATGCACATGTGCATACCGTCCAGGTGAACAACTACCAGGGTCTTTCTCAGTTTTTCGTTTTTTTGTGGTTTTCCCCCAAACCTGACCCTGTGAGGGAGTATACATATATATAACTAGAACGTGTTACTACAAATTGGTGCAAGTTTTATTGTGAAAAACGCCTTGGGAAGATGTCAAGTCTATTCCTTGAAGTAGTTTAAAGATACAAACTTTATCCCGCTGTTTAATAGTTCGTTTGATGGTCATCTAACGTTTCATTTCTTGTTTTCTTGATCTATTTAGATCTCTTTACACTTTTAGACCGTTATCGCATGATTTGCATCTTGGAACTACACATATTGACCTTTCTATTATGTTATCTTTTATCTTGAATGACCAGGAGGATGGCTCAAGCTGTTGGGGGATACGACTTGCTTCCAAAGGTGATACTTCAATCAAGATTTCTGATGTATATGCTGTTGACTTCATTGATTGGGGATTGGTGCATGAAACTCGTCATACAAATGCAGGATGCCTGTTTGATCATGTATCTGAGGTTAGTCATGGTTATATCAATGTATTGCTTTTAGGCAGTATAACACTTGGTTGGTCCCTGAAAAAGTGTACAATTTCTCAACTTTAACACCATACAGAAGTTTAAAATGGATGCCTCTTTAAGGACAGAAGGAATACTGTTTTCGGTTTGTTGGAGACTAACCCGCCTGTATATATGTCGAGATATGCCCTCTTTATATGGGTTCGTTCAATTAGTTTTTGTATGTTGCTCGTAGATGTACCGGTTCAGAGTGCATGGTATCCAGAAGTCCAAGGCTCAACCTTCTCTTTGGACTTCAATTATACACACTTTTGGTCACGACGATAAGCAGACATGTCAAATGTGGGTGAAGCAAATAAATATGTTTCTTGGCTTGGAAACCAACAGGCCTAAGAGTCTTCTGGTATGTTCAATTATTTATTCTTTGTAAATGGTTCCTTATAACTGACTGTTTCTCAATGAAAAACCAAAGCACAATAGCAATAAGGTAGCAGGAAGGATGGCTTCTTGGATTTTTATTAATCTTGACTAGGTTTTTGTTCATCCGAGGAGTGGAAAAAGAAACGGATGTCGAATTTGGGAAAATGTGGCTCCTCTCTTTTCTCGAGCCAAAGTAAAAACAAAGGTATGCGTTCTATGTTTTCAAGCCATCCTCACGCCATTTTCAAAAAAGATCGTTACACCTAATTAGGGTGTATTAAGTTCAATGCTTACAAAAATTGACAAAACCCTGGAAAATGTCATCATTTGTTGAATCTTGATTTTCTTCTATAGGTTGTTGTAACAGAGAGGGCTGGGCATGCCTTTGATGCAATGAATTCTATTACAAATAGGGAGCTTACTTCCTATGATGGGGTTGTTGCTGTTGTAAGCTTTGTGTTCCTAGATTGTCATCTTTTTAACTTTTCCGTATCTAAATACGGGTGCTCTACTCTTTGGGGTAAAGTTCAGGTCTGCATACGTCCCACGTATGTGCAGGATATACCGGGCTAGTTTGGTTTGTTTGATTTTGAATCCGTACATCCTGTTATGGGGTGTTTTGACACAAAAAGCTTTGGAATTTTTGCTTACTTGATGTGGTTCAGGGAGGCGACGGGTTATTCAATGAGATCCTAAATGGGATTCTTTTGTCAAGACACAACGCTCCCTATCCACCTGTCCCTCCGGATCATAGTCAAACCGTCGATACCCATAATGAAATAGTGGATCCTGGCCCAACCGTAACTATGGCTGAGCCATTGGCTTCTGGTGAGGATGAGTCACCTCTCCTGAGTACACCACTTGAATCACATGTCGCAAATCCTAGTACGCTCCCGTTTTATATCGTTTCCATTTATGCTATTGCTTATATATGTCTTTTGGTTAATTGACCTTTTGTCAGGTTTTTTTATTATTATAAATGCACGACCTTTTGAGAGGTTTGAAAATGACACTTCTCACAGAAGAATGCCTAGAAAACTATAAGAAGGTCATGGATTTAAAAAAAACACTTGTCTGGAGGTCATTTAGCTAAATAACCCTAAATATGGCGCCCGTAACCTATTTCTGATATGTGATAACTTATTTGCTATATCATGAGCAGACCTTGATCCTGAAGTTTCTTTCCCAAATGAACGATTTCGCTTTGGACTCATTCCTTCTGGTTCAACCGATGCCATTGTTATGTGGTATTGCTCAAGTTATATTCTTTTCTGCAAATTTCGCCTTTTTATAAACATAAATACATTCTTTTGCTAGCTGCTTTCATACGGGTTTTGTTGGTTTTTTCAGAATCTTGATGTTTTCTAGAATAGAAATACGTTATTGAAAGCTTGCAGACAATTTCCGTCATCTGTTCTGAATTTTCTGAGTTGTTGTGATCAAGAATGTGATGGTTATATGTTTTGCAGCACAACTGGAGCCCGGGATCCGGTGACATCAGCATTGCAAATTATCTTGGGCGAAAGATTACAGTTGGATATAGCTCAAGTTGTGAGATGGAAAACGTCACGAACATCCAAGGACGAGCCTCGTGTACGCTATACTGCTTCGTTTGCTGGGTAGTCCTTTGTCGTGTTCTCGTGGCCTGTTATAACAATGTTTTCGTCTATCGCTCAATTTGTTTTTTTGATGTTAGCAGGTATGGATTTTATGGAGATGTGATTACAGAAAGCGAAAAATATCGATGGATGGGGCCAACACGATACGATTACGCAGGAACGAAGGTGTTTCTTAAGCACAGGTATTCATCAAGATGTAAGTCACTGTAGATGCACAAAAGGACCAATCTCAAGTACATAGAGTGGTCCAAAGGTAACCGGTCCTAACCAAGGTTTTACATGGCGTGAGAGTGGTGAGGAGGTCAAACCTTAAGCCTTAGGAGCAATAGCAAGACCACTACGTTTTCCAAGACGTGGCTTAAAGAGGAAAGTATGTATATCACACACACACACACACATATATATATATATATATATATGATATAGGGGAATGTCAACCATAAATATTCTGAGAACTACGAGAACCTGTATATGCATACAACATATATGCATAAAACTATCAAAATTTGTATTATCTAAATGAGTATATTCATCAATGCCTATGCATCATACATGCATTGATATATATACTCATTAAAGTTGGTATATGCATCAATGCATATATTAGTTCTTATGTTTCTTAGAATATTTATGGTTCTCATTTGATCTTTTCCTTATATGTTAATGTTACTAAATAACTTACATTCATATATAAACAAAAAATTTCATATATTCACACATACACACACATATATATTATGTATATATTTGAAGTATAAAATACATATACATATAGGGTTAGGTGTCAAGTTAGGTGGAAAACTGCAAAAAAATTGAGAAACTGAGGAACACCCTTGTAAACATTCATCTAGATGGTATGCACACGTGCATAAAAACCAAAAAACAACTTCAATTACTTGTATTTACATGTGCATACCGTTATGATGAATGGTTACCAAAGTGTTCTTTTAGTTTTTTATTTTTTTGGGGTTTTCCCATGAACCTCCCTCCATACATATATATATATATATATATATATATACATACGGCAAATGAATTCACACGTCCTCCTCCCTGAATCCTGGGAGGTTGGGGCTTTACAAACGGCTAGGCGAAAGAATCTGTTCATATATTGATATCTCTCTCTCTCTCTCTCTCTCACACACACACACATATGTATATATATATATAGAGAGAGAGAGAGAGAGAGTTTATAAAAAGTGTTATATCAGGAGCTAATGACAAGGTAAAAGTATAAAAAGAAGGCAAACTTATAAAAGGAGAGTCAATACCGCGTGCCTCAGGAACCCATGGCACACGCCTCACCTTACACAACCGCTACAAGGTGACCTTTTGGCCGCCTCTCGCATACAATTTTCCATGATCTAGTAGCTAGTAGTTGTATTGAACTTGGTTTTGTTTGTTTCTTTTAAGATCATACGACGCAGAGGTGTCTTATATAAAAGTAGAACAAGATAAAACGAATACACGAGCCAATCAAAGAAGAATAAAGGCATTTTGGGACCTCTCCAAGGAGCCAGAAAGAGCACTTTGTCACGCCAAGTGCAATGTTTGTAATACGAACCAAACATCCGACACGCTTCAAGAATCAAAGTTGACGAGAGTTAGAGGACGGTTTCTTAGCATCGGTGCGGCTGTCATATCGTGCAGAAATGAAAAGGCACCCGATGGCTTTGTCGCTGATGCGCACCTTTCAGACGGCTTCCTGGATCTTATTCTCATCAAAGACTGCCCTCGTGCTTTCTATTTATGGTAACCCCTCATTCCCCTTCTTTCCCTGCCTACATCTCGGATTTGAGTATTGCTTATGGGGTTCCATACCTCCGCTCTATCGTCCTGGCACAATGGAAAAGACTTTTGTCTTTAAAGGTGTGCCCACTTTAATGTGATGCTTAAGTTAACAAAAAGTGGTTGCTGTCCCATTCGCATACCCTTTGGAGTGAGATATATAATGGGTTTGGTTACATGTTCTAACCATGGTTAATTGTCACATGTAGGCATCTCACCCAACTAGCAAGAAAGGGCGGAACACCATTGGACTTTGATTTCGTCGAACATCATAAAGTACGATTCCTTACCCAATTTCGTTGGTGTGTGATTTCATTTTGGTGAATAAAAACCCTTTGCTTTGGTTTCTACAGACGACAACTTTCACGTTCACTTCATTCGGGGATGAGAGCGTGTGGAATGTGGATGGTGAGGTTCTTGTAGCCCACAAATTGTCGGCACAAGTCTTCCGTGGTCTCATTAGCTTGTATGCTTCTGGCCCTGAAACTCGAGAGTGAAAAAGTAGCCGTGTATTTTGTACAAGTGTATAGATGCAGTTTTATATTATATCAGGATTAGCAAATAACCAAGTATTTTGTATAAGTGTGGCCATCTAATTCTTTCATTAACTTTAATCAATCAGGTTGGTATTTTTCAACTTGTAGGATGATGTTAGAACTTGGATCACCAGAGTCAAACTTATATAAATTGACTCTGACTCTGTTAAAATCTAGTGATTAGGAATCATAATCTTAGTTGGAGAACTGCATGGATTTCAAATCATTTCTATGGCTTCCATGACAATCTTTCTTTCTCCACACACACACACACACACACACATTATTTATTTATTAATACACCAATTTTACAAGTCAACAATGATTCGACACAAATCTTTCATTTCCCTGATTAAATGTGCATCTGAAACGACTTTTTGACGCGATGAATACAAAGAAGCTTGTAGTGAGGACAATCTGTTTGATGAAATGCTAGACCCATAAAACATATTGTTGTACCAACATCAATGCCTCCAGCAACACTGATGGGACGATCGCAAATTGCTTGGTAGTGGGATTAAATATGTAGTATTTATGATAACTACAGCAAAGCAACAATCCATTACAGGATTGCATGATTCAGGATGGAAATCGAGACTACTTAGAGGAGGAGTGGTTCGGTTTTCATCATCAAATTCAAATGGAATGTAGAAATTGTGAAGAAAGAAGCCAGGAGAGAGTGAAAGAGGGTGGTGATAACTACAGTGAATTCTAATGTTTGGATATGGATTTGAATCGGAAGAGAGAGTTAACAAAGGATATGGGTTAATAGGTCATCGTAGGAAGCGAGCAGACATGGTGGGTTGGTGATCAACCATGGAGGAAAGAGGAAGTGGATATGAGTTAAATTCATTTAAAATAAGCAAAAATCCTATCTTCTTGATTTCATTGGTGGGACATGAATATGAATATGAATATGAATATGAATGAAATTATAATAATGAGAGGGATAATCAGCCCACTATCTTCTTGATTCCAAATATGGTGAACACCAGAGCCAAAACAAAAAGAATCAGAAACATACTCCAATGATTTCATGGTGGATCATCAGCCCACTATGTCTGCTTTCAACCATGATCTTTTAACCCAAATCCTTCTCCGCCTCCCTGTTACCTCCCTCCTTCAATTCAAATCCGTATCCAAACACTGGAGGTCGCTTCTAAGTCACCGTCGATTCACCCTCCGTCTTCCACTCACTCCAGGATTCTTCGTTTGCAATTTATATATTCCATTTGGTCATGAAAACCGAACCACTCCTTTTCATAGTCTCCATTTCTATCCTGATCTCTGTGGCATCAGAATTGTGCAATCCTGTAACGGATTATTGCTTTGCTGTAGCGATCGGGGGCACGTGCGTGCTCCTAAATAATGCGTATTCAATCCCACCACCAAGCAATTTGCAATCGTCCCATCACTCCCTGGAGGCATGGATGTTCGTAAAACCATCCGTTTTATGGGTCTGGCATTTCATCAAACAGATTGTCCTCACTACAAGCTTATTTGCATTCATCCTGCAAATTCTAACCAGGATCTGTTTCAGATTCAAATTTACTCGTCTGAGACAGGGAAATGGAAGATTTCTGATCAAACTTTCTCTGCCCCTTGTTATACATCCTTCACAGTTGGAGTTTATTGGAATCAAGCGATTTACAGCTGGGCTCCATCTGCATTAATCCTTCCTACTTTAAGCTGGACGTAGAACAGTTGCAAAAGCTGCCATTGCCGGTGGAGCTGACATCTTTTGGTGGTTATCAAGAAGGAGCGATTCCCCATTACTTCGGGGAGTGTGGAGGGCATCTGCATTTGGTGGAGAGACGCCATGGCGAGAGCTGTTTACACCTGAATGTGTATGATGACGAGTGATCATTCCAGGTGGTTTGTCAAGTATCAAGTGGAGCTTGATGAGCTTCCCGTTGCTTACCCGGTGATGATTCATAGCTACCAAGATCCTTCAAGCCCTTACTGTTGTGAGTTCCAAGTGTTAGATGTGGTTAGGGCTGAAGAAGAAGGAACATTCATGGTGGTCAGGATTCCAGGTTTAATCTCACGGACAAGAGTGTAAGCAGATATTTGATCTGACCAACATTTTCTTTGGAAGAATTGATCACTCGGAAGTTCATCGTCATATCCAAACTTTATCTTCTTTCTAGTTTCTACTACAAGTAACATTAGATCCTACTAAACATACAACAATCCACTTGTGTATTTGTCCATAGAAAAATGTAAAAGATTTCTGAATCTGCAAGAAAACCCATGTGGTTTCTGCAAGAATGTTCCTATAGTATTATTTACCAATAATTAAAGAACAAGGGCTATGCTACAGTACAACCCACCAATTGCATCTTACTGCAACTCCCGAGACCCACAATGAGTAGATCACATTGTTTCCAAGGTTTTCCACCATGAATCTCAATGTCAATGAATCTTCAGGATTTTGAGCAAGATTTAACGGTTATTGTCGAGGATTTGGTCCATATGATCCAATTTCTTGTAGCTTCTTGCAGATGTGTTTTATGTTGGGTCTGAGAGAAGGTGATGGTGAACAGCAAACCATTGCAAGCTGAGACAGCTTCCGAATTTGTTCTTCATCAACTGGACTGTCATGATGGTAGAAATCCGATATCGGGTGATCCAAGATTGCATTTGAATGGAAATCTTGATCAGAGTCTGCTTTCTCATTGTTCATCGGCTCTTTTCCGGTAAGTAATTCAAGTAAGATCACTCCAAAGTTGAAGATATCGTTTTCAACACTGGTATCATTCATTCTAACCATTTCAGGTGGCTTGTAACCTTCAACAGCAACTTCTTCGACCATTTCTTGTGCTGTACATGGATTCAAGAGCAGATGTAGACCAAAATCGGACACATACGGCTGTTGATTTCTGCCTAAAAGTATGTTCTTTGATTTCAGATTTCCATGGATAATTGGCTTTTGAAGACCTGTGTGGAGATGATCTAATCCTCTAGCAATGCCAATTGATATCCTATAAATCACACTCCATTTCTGAGACCCACCATTTCCATCTGCACAATTGAAAATTAAACAAGAAAACCATAAAAGATCAAATCTTTTATGGTACTACATTACTAGAGGTTCAGGCAATCTGTTAGAAGTAAAATTAAATAAAACCCAATATAAAGATCAAATCTTTGTTGCAGAAATTTAAACAAGAAAACCATAAAGACTGGTTCTTTGGTAGAGCAATGGTACAACAGAAGAAGCATAAAGTACTACATTTAAACAAGAAACCATAAAGACTGGTCTCTTTAGGGAAGTTGTTTCAAGTAAAATTAAACAAAACCCAACAGAAATTTAAAATCTTTATTGCAGATAGTCCATGGAATCTCCAGTTTATTACCTCCAACTTTAAAAAAACAAGAAAACTAACAAGATTTGAGATTTATACCTCTAATGAATTGAGCAAGATTTCCTCTCCTGTAGAAGGGATGAACCAGAAGCTTTTCACCTCTGGGACCAACATAAAACCCACAAAGAGGCACCAAATTAGGATGCCTAATTGAGCCTATAAGTTGTACCACATGCATCATATCTTGTACCTTGTCAGTGGTGCATGCTGGTCTCAAGAATCTCAACACCACAACTGAATCACTTGTCACCAAATTAGCTCTGTACAAAGTTCCATAGCTAGATTTACCAATCACTTCACCAGGAGCATCCAGTATATCAAAACAAGTGAGATCTTCACCACCTTCAAACTTGATCAACTCCCCTCCTTTCATCTCCATTTCTTTAACTTCAAAGTTTGCTTCTTTATTCCAAGATTCATCTTTTGAACACCCTTTTCTTCTGCAGATACATGAAATCAAGGCTACAGTAGTGATGAACAAAGTGAAAGAAGAGGATAATGCCAGAATTAGCATCAGCTTGTGTGTGGCCTCCATGTGTGTGCTTAAAGAAGTGAAGAAATTTGTGGGTGGGTGGGTGNAAGAATGCAGACAAGATGTTTGTTTTCTTGTGCAACTTCAAGTCACAGCCATTTCGATTTGTGTGTTTGGCGAGTTAAATGGCAATGGGGTTGATACATAAAGAAACAGGAATAGAAGCCAATGTGATTTTGGAAGGACTGCAAAAAGGAACTACTTTTTTGTTTCTGTTTGGAATAAGACACACATGTTTTGGTTGGACAGAGGAGGGGAATCAGATTGAAGAATTCCATCAGTTCTCCAATGGTATATACATACAATCATTTAAAAGAAGATATATAATAAAAAAGAAATATTCTTTTATTATTCTAAAGCAACATCTGGTTATTAAATAAATGGTTTAATAATTTTAAATAAAGAATAATAACAAAGAATAAATTTGTTCCTAGACATGTGGGCATGATTAATGGGCATTGGGGATTGGTGGTTGGATTAAATGATGGGGGGGTGGTGGTTGCTGGGTGAAAATGAAAACTCACCCTGGTCCTGGTTTTGGTTTGACATCTCTTCAATCATGTCCTCCTATACAAATTACACTTGGGGTCCATATCACCATTATTTTGTTTCAAAAACATGCCTATGCCTACATAATTGACTATTATGTAAATTCCTACAAAACTTGTGTATATCCAAGCTGAATGTGTTTCAAGATTTTAAGTGATAACCTTAGTTAGTTATTTAAGAAAAAATATCGTTAATGTAATAAATCATACATACTTCACGTAACATATCATACATGATTCGGACGATTTTGTCCTGCGACTTAAGTGGCCTCAAAAGTCTCCCGTTTCCATTTAATGTAAAATCACATATGATTTTGTACGTTAACGATATTTTTCTAGATAGTTAACGTTATCGTTTGAACCTTCCTTTTGAGGTATATTCACTCATACTTATTTACTTAGTCGGGATAATTTGATGAACAATAAAATAAAATAGAAAATGGTCTAGTTGTATATATAGGTAATCCTTACTCTATAAAAACGATACCGAAGGGGTCTTTGGCCTAGCGGCATGTGAGTCCAGGAGGCCAAGGGTTCAAACTTCACCAAAAATGAAGAGGATGTTTGAGTTTATTTGTTCTATTACCATATATAAATATTATATATACTTTAAAAAAAAGAAATTGCAAAAGTTATTATTCTTCTACATGAAAGATGGCCTCTTTTAAAAGTTGTATCAAGAAATAATGATTAAAAATTAGGAGAAAAGTAATAAAAAAACACATGCCAAAGGATGATTTTTTTTTGACATGACAATAGTGTGCATCCAAATCCAATCATGCCTCGAGTCAATTAAGATAAAATCCAATATAAATTTGTCACACTTTCTACTTGTTGCGGTCATTTCATCTACAACAAATATGAGTGAATAGCCGAAGCCCTATTTATGTTTAAATTCATTTCGAATTCCTCCCTCACGCTAAAAAGAAGTTAAGATATATAATACATGGGATTTGAAAGTTTGAATGATTTAACGGATATATAGGAACCTATTAGGTCGCTCCATTGATCACCGGAGTTTCCAAGAATTCGGAATCCCTCTTCCATGATCTCTTTTCTCTTTTCTGACTTAAACTCTTGTGCAGTTTTTCCATGGTCTTCGCTAGCTCTGTAAAAATTGAAGCATTCGTTTAGCAAGAAGAAAGGAATTGAAGGAGCTATCTAGTTTTGAACACACTTACCTCAAAATAAGTCGGTCCCATTTTTGAAATCCAACATGGATCAAATTATTGATGGTGATATCTCTTTTGTCTTCGGAGCGTCCTGTCAACAAGAAGATCTTAAATCCTAGCCTTGAAACTTCATTGTAGAGCTTCAAACTAGGTTCAATTGCCGACGCCATTCCCTCAATGACCCATTTGTCAAATTGAATGTTGTCGAAAATCTCGGAGCTACAACATGAGCAAGAAAGAATTGATTATAAATTATAAAGAAAGAAAGAAATAACAAAAATCCAAGTAGAATTGGAATCAAACCCCACTCGATCAGAATAAATTATAAAACTTGATTGAAGCATAATCTGTATCACTTTTAGATTGCTATTTTCCAATTTTAATATTTGATATATGAATGAGCAATTGACATGACTTGGTTTGAATCTCCCATTTCTCTTTGCTACTTAATTATTTGTTTCTACATTAATTCTTACTATTTCATTTCCTATGTGTCATGATTGTGCTCCAATAAAGATTACAAGTAAGGTTTAGATTGATTTACATAAAGGGCCCTAAATCTTAGGTTGGTGCTTGTAAGTGATATATATATATATATATATATATATATATATATATATATTTAGATTCATATAATTGTAGGGTGTTGGGTTCCGGTGAGAAAGAGAGTTATATTGAGAAGAATCAATCCTAATTGAAGTTGTCTTCTAATTTCTAAAACGCAATTCATGGATCAATTACAGTTGTCACCTATTCCAACATGTAGTTGTAATTGTAATAAATAGATTGGAATAAAATGATTTTAGTTTCTTGTAATCCATCCACTAATGAAGGTAAGCAAGCATACATCATTCCAATTGATGGTGGGAATTGGGGATTGAATGCAATTCAAATTGATCGAAAACCTAGAAGTAGAAGAATGAGAGAGTAGAGAAATGAATGAATGTCAATGATACCCGTAACCATGGTGAGCATAATAAGGTAGATTTGAAAGCAAAGTTTCATCAATATCGAAAATCCAAGCATCCATCCCATCTTGCTTCAAATCAGCAGTCTTGGCATAGGTTTCTGCTTCCTTGGACACGATTTGAAGGTCAAATTGGTAAGACGGACCCAACATATATTCCTTCACGTACTCGATACATTCCTGGGGAATCGTGTTCCATGGGGTCAGATAGTTGGCCTCCACCGCTACTCTCCAATCCGTACAACGTAATGGCAGCTGTTGGGTCAAAGTATGAAATGGCGGTTGTGGAAGTTGGATGCTGAAAGACCTTGGAAGTAGGTGAGAGAAAGCTACAGAAAGGAAGCACAATAGCAAGGAATGTGTGAAGAAACTCATGGTGATGAGATCAAATATGGATGAATGAGGATGAGAGAATGTTGAAAAAACTGGATTTATGAGGCGAATTGCTTGCTTGTGAAGCAAGCAAGGGAAAGGATTCTTTGTTTTTAATAATAAATAATAAATAATAAATAATAAATAATAAATGCTCTTTTAATGAATGGCATGCGTGTGTATGGGAATGGGCATTTCCTTGGCATTTGTTACCCAAAGATTATGCTTTAAATAAATATATTTTAGAATGAATGGTAACAAGTTTTGTAACACTTAACAAAGGATGGAAATTGATGATAAAAAATGAGTAAAAATCCAAGAAATTTCATTACAACTCTCAACTTCAAATGAATGCTTGTATGTATCTCATTCTCATTTATAATTTATAATTTATAATTTATAATTCATAATTTAGGGCTTTAGGTTTAGGGTATCTAGAAAAATCACAAGAAGTCGTAAACATTTGATATGATAAAATAAATTGTAGTGTTTATTATTGGGTTGGGGCCAGGGCAAGTAATATTAGCCCACCAAGAATAACTAAATGTTAAGAATCCAATTCCATCCCACCAAGTAAATTGGGCCAGTACCCAATTTAACGTTACATCACATCACAATCACATGTTATAATCTCTTGGTTTGGTTTGGTTTTTGCATTCAATCTTGTATTTTGTTTTGTCATTTCAATAAATTATATCATATGCTTTTTCTAATCATCATATTAATTAAATAAGTCAAGAGAAAACATGATTATGATAGTTTACCATCATAAAAACATATTTTTTTTATTTAATTAATACCTTCATATACAAATAGATTAAGGACTGGCATGCCAATTTAACTAAATTAATCTCTCTTTATATATATATATATATATATATATATATATATATAGAAAAGCTGATACCTAAAATCAATAATTGGAGGAGGAGCTATTATGTATATACACCCCTTTCACATGGCTACTTGTATTATATCATCAAGCTTTGGATGCTTTAAGCATATCATATCATATCATTACATTCTTTATATAAAACAAACAATTTACTTTTTCTGGAAATTAATCATTTTTTTAAATAAAAAAATTGATGACATGATTTTCATTGTAAACGTTTTAGTTGTTGATTTATATCCAATTGGTATTACTTATTATTTTAAGTTTTACATTTTGATATATATATATATATATAAATTTATTTACTTTACATGTTTTCATTAATTAACCATACAAATTAATGAGGTAACAGTAATGGTAAATGATGGAATTTGGCCAAGTGTAAAGAGTCTACAATCAAAGGTTGTTTTTTATATATTGAATCATTTTACACACAAATTTTCCCAATTAAACCCCAACCCCATATACCACCATTCCTTATCAATTACATTTCTTGTTTCACAATAACTTTTCATAATTCATCGTCGACAAAGTTTCAATAATAAACAATCACAACGATATATAACCTATCTCGTTAACCCATAAATTCACAGGTGTTGTGATTCAAATCATAAAGCAAAAATTACATGCTTCCCCCTTTAACCTACATCCATCAAGTAGCTGTAGCACAAACAAATTCACTGTAATCTGCTTTTACTCTTTCTCATTTTAATTGACATGAATGAATTTAAAAACTATTAAAAGTATGACCTTTGACCTATTTTAATAATAATAATAATAAATTTACCTTATCTTCATAATCATATGCAAGTTGATGCGTGAAGCCATGACGTCATCAGGTGGTGCTTCGTGCATTCACCACGTGCTTCATTTACTTTTTTTTTTTTTAATCTTCCTTCCACTTGTTTGTTTGTTTGTTTGTATGTGCAGAAACTTCATTGCAGTTGCAGCAGGTTCCCACTTCCCACATCAATCTTACAAAATTAGTCCCTCATCTTTTCTATATTTTCTTTTCTAACCAAACATTTAGGTCATAAGCACATGGAAACAAACCTTAATTAGTATCTAATCAATCCCAATTCCAAAAACCTGGTGAAGTATGCAAAGGTCAAAAAATGGAACGAATTTCGGTTTCATACTTATTTAGTATATAAGGATCACTCTCCTTGGATTGATAGTTACAAAATATCTATTGCTTGTTGATTCAAATTGATATTTGAAACATTAATTAATTAATTCATTAGGGACCGTATGTATTAATTAAAAAGAGTAGATGGATGAAATGTTAATATCCACATTAGTAGGGGACCAGAATTGTAATTCACCCTCACCCAACCACCACTTCATCTGCTGAGCTGTATATAAAACCCCCTCATTCTCTTCTTTCTTTCTTTCAAATTTCTTCTTTCCAGTCTTCTCTTCTTATACCCTTTTTTATTTTTCTTCCTCCAAAATCCCACTTCTTAAAATGATGCAGGCGGAAGCCTCTGCCTTTCCGGCCACTAACATCGGCGACCTTCCCGCGTTTTGCCGGACTGCTAGCTTTAGCAGCCTCATGCCATGTTTATCGGAAAATTGGGGCGATTTACCGTTGAAGGTGGACGATTCAGAGGATATGGTGATTTACGCCTTTTTACATGACGCCCTCAGAACAGGCTGGACGCCGTTCAATTTCTCGGCTAAAGAGATCAAACCCGAGTCCATGGAACCTAGCGATCCTCAAGTGGAAGAAACAGCTGCAAATTCGGCGCCCAAAGGAAAGCACTACAGGGGGGTGAGGCAGCGCCCGTGGGGGAAGTTTGCGGCGGAGATAAGAGACCCAGCTAAAAATGGAGCCAGAGTGTGGCTCGGGACGTATGAGACGGCTGAGGAAGCGGCTATTGCATACGACAGAGCTGCATACAGGATGCGTGGCTCCAAGGCTTTGTTAAACTTCCCACACAGAATCGGGTTGAATGAGCCAGAGCCAGTGAGAGTGACATCAAAGAGGAGGTCTCCTGAGCCGTCAACTTCGTTATCATCAAACTCAGAAAGCGGCTCGCCTAAGAGGAGAAATACTAAAGGATCGGCGGGTGAGGTAGTCGAGCCAGAAGTACAAAGCCGATCATCAACGAGTATAAACAAATAGAAGAAGTGGCAATTGGCGTACAATCATTGGACGACTAGTTGTCAGCTTGCAAGAGGATCCGACCCAGATCTTGAATTTGCCCCAAGGTGAAGGTGGAGCATTTAGCAATAGCAAATGCAAGTTGCCAAAAAGGGGTGAGGCCATAAATGGAAATTTGCTACAGGAATTGGCAATTTACTATTTATTGATTAAATATATTACGAAAACAAAATGCCAAATATCATGGATTATGACGTCATAGAGGTGAGATTTGTAGAATGTTTGACGTGTGTGCGGATGTTTGATTAGATATGAGTGTAAACAGTTGGAGGAAGCAAGGTAAACGTTGTTTCTTTTTCCATTGATTTGATAAATATATAAAAAATTAACGTTTTAGTCTTTGATTGGATTTTTTTTTTAATTTAAACTTTTTTATTTTTATTTTGAATGATTGAGTCTCTGATCGAAAGGAAACATTAAACTTTCTCATTTTATATTATTAACATTTTTTAATAAATAAACCATCATATTTTTAAAAATTGATTAATTATATTATTTTAACTCACACTTACATGTGCCAACTAGCAAAAGTTTGATGATATATTTAATACATTTTTTCATGCTCTTGATCGGTCAAAATAAAAAAGTTTAATGGTATCAAAATTTAGTTCAAGAACTTAAACAGGAAAGTTTAATGGTTCTTTACACCAAAAGATAATTCAATGACTTAATCATTTAAAATGAAAAAATAAGATTGATGATTCTTTTTATTTAAGAATGAGAAAATTTAATAGTTTTTTCATTAAAATGAAATTATTAGACACCTACGAGATGACTCTTTGTCCAACTCATGCAAAGATTAATATACATCCAATTCCAAACAAATAGTTTAGAAATAGAATGAAAGGCAAATAACATTTTCAAAACAAGTCCTATGATTCATTTTTTAAATATATGTATTATAAAAAAAAGTAGAATTTTCATGATTAATTTGGTGTTGATCCATTTGAATTACACATTTCTGTTCCAAAATACAAATGTACATAATGAAAGAACACACAGTAAATGATACACTTTTTAATTAATTAAATGACACTTTTACCATCTAATAATTAAGAAGAGTAGAATAGGAATTAATTTTAGAAATAGATACTTGTTTTGTGACATTCCCTCTAAAGTTGAGAGGATATGTACCATTAAGAAAGTTGCTTCATAATAATAATAATAATAATGGAACACATTAGTTATATTTGTTGTTGGATCAAAGACTATATATAATAATAATAATATAATTGCAATCAAAACTAAATGATGATAGCTTGCTTAGCTGCTGCAATGCAATTACAAACACCACTCAAGTATAACATAAAGATATCTTATGTGCCAATTTATTTTTAATTGTTTATTTATGGTGTTTACAGGTGACATAATCATCAAGTTACCAAAAGGAATACAAGTAGCAGCAGGAAGAGAGTAGAGCAGCAAAATCTTGACTTACATTTGACTTCTTGTAGTAGTAGTAGTAGTAGTAGGATGAATGTGGTCAAGTATTTGGTTACATTTATTCATGGTTCTCGAGTCCACAAGACCATGATTCCAGAGTTTCACAATCAATAATTTCCAACACCTGCCAATGCCAATCAAGAGTAGTAAGTCTAAGTCATCAACACCATTCTAAAACCCTTCTCCTACCATTCCTTTATTAATCATAAACATAACACAGATCTTCTGCAACTAATTGTTTATGTCAATTACTCACACAAGCCCTACCTTCTCTTTCTATACAAACACTTTCTGCGTATCTAACCAACCACTCTAACCCATGTTTGACAACCATATTTTTGCTATGAGACCAACAACTTTTTCTTTCTCCGATTAAAAAAAATGGCTTATTTTTTAAGATCACCGAAAAGCTCCATCTTTTCAATTATGCTCCTCGTATTTTTTTACATGTCCTTTTATATTGTTATCTAGCTTATCAACTAGTTTTTACCAAGCATTACTAGTTTATTAGCTAGCTTATTGACTAGTTCGCCAACCAGAGTTTAAGTTGAAAATGGTGCTATTGATGCTGACACTTGCAAACTAAAAAATAACACACAAGGGTACTGCCTCTAAACCTTGTGCTCAAATATCATAGTTAACTAGCTGTATCAGGCACCCTAAAGCCAAAGGGACGGTTTTATATAAGAGTGAAGGGATTGGTTAAACACGAACAATACCGCTCGAAGCAAACCAATGAAACATAAAAGTGTAAAGATGGAGGGCCAGGTAAAGTTAGAAAGAGAAGAGAGATAACTACCAGAGCAGTTTTGGGTTCTGGAGAAAGTTTTTTCCATGCAATTTCGAAAATGCCTCGCATGCCCACGGAATATGGCCATCTGCCAGCACCCTGGTACCATCATAAAAACAACTCTCAAGTGGTAGCGATGGAATAACTTTTGTATTTGACTTTTTATTAGAAACAAACATCATTCTTGTGAAAATGAAAAAGAAAATACTGTTTTTACAAGAACGAACATTTTTGACCAAAAACTACCAAGTATAATGTCCTCAAAATCATATTCCTGCAAATGTAGTGTTCGTTTTAGCATGTTCACAAAAATGGTGGTTAATTTGCACTGAGAGGACAAGTATGGTACTTCAAAACTTCAATTGCCCATGCAATTGAAAACATGCAAATGCTTGAAAGTAAAAACACGCGGAGATGTCTTTATCCATCAATCCCCTTGTTATACTTTATCCATAAATCCCCTCTTCATACGATCAATATCATGTGAAATATATGTATGTATATGCAAGAAACAAATTACCGCTGCTTTCTCACAAAGGAGTTCCAGAGATGCATCATGTGCTTCTCTTCTTTGGCAACATCGACAAAGTCGTCAAGCATCTGAAAAATATGAAAGTACCTGTCAGCTTCTTCTTTAATCAGATCAAATGAATATCCAGTTTTAAGATCTGCACTTTTGCTGGATTGCCTGGTCAAGCATCCTATTTGTACATCAACATATTTGGGACTATAAAGATGTTCTAGTCCAAATGACTTGATGAACAGGCATAAGTGACCCCTAAAAAATGATAGACAAAAGTATTAAGCCACAACTATGGACAATTGTGATGGGTTCTGCATCAGGATGTTGAAATTCAACATTACAAGTAAGCAACGGTAAAATAGTGAAAGGACATGTCACTTTGCTCAACATAAACGAGAAGCCTATACGGCCAAAAGGACAAGCCACTCGTTGTTATTTGGGTAGTGAAAATTTTAGATCATTTAATCCCGACTTCATTGGTCAGAAAACATCCATATGGTTAGCAATTACACAAGATTAAATCAACTTTACAGTCTTTATTGTAGCCCATGTTTTAGCTGAGATGTACAGATCAACGGTGCTTAGGAATCATGCCTGAAGCAGTGACAATTGGTTGTGGTTATTGAGCATATATCAAGGGTTAGGACTAGGCTCTGAAACATCAATTTAGTTTTATGTCAGGAAGATAGACAACAAAGGCGTCTTGATTAGATAACTCATGGTGATATCTGAGGTCAACATAAGATTTTTGCATATGATGTTCATTGATCTAAAGAGATAGCAAGAGTGATATATTGTGCTCTCAAAGAAGAAAAAAAAGAACATTTATAATGTACTTGGATGTGATAGAGTATGTATGATAGCATAATGGTGTGCATGGAGAAGATGAGAGCTTTCATATTTGATATTACAATAGGATTGAACCAAGGGTCAACATCAAGTCCCTTTTTTTAAATTATCGATGAGTAGTGTAGAAGAAATTCCATGGTATATGTTTTTCCCGACGATATCATGCTTGCTTGATGAGATTAAGGTTTTATATCAAGTCAGACTAGAAGAAAGTATATTAACTGCTTTTTAGGCAGCATTGAGACTGCAGTAGAGAATGTCGTATCATGTTTAGTCTTTAGCTAGGAAGGATATCATGCATTCATATTTGAAATCACTATTAGACAAGGATGTAGAGATTGATGACGTTAAGAATATGATAAAAGCTGAAACAGTTTCATACTTTGGCCGATACCACCTAACTTGGGATCAAATGGTTGTTCTTCAAGCAAAAAATATACACACAACTTGCATATACTCATCACCCTTGTGTAATACTAGTAAATGCTCCCTTTATCGTGTATAGTCTAACTTTCTTTACTACACAATGCAGTATATATCATCCTCCTTCCAGGAGATTTAAAAAGTCCAGTACTGTATTCAATGCTACTCCTTACGAGATACAATCTACAAGGGGAAGCTCCTTAAGTGACCATCCAACATTTTGAGTTAAACTTTGACTTCCCACCACTACCTTAAAAAACACCCAAAGTACGAGATGTTTTGCAATATATATCATGTGGTGCAAGTTTCCTGAATCCCATTATATCTTCACGGGACGATTTTAAGGGTTGAGGAATAGCAGTACAAGGTGTTGAAAGAAGGGGGAAAAGTTGTGACACAACTCCTTTCCTGTTTCCTCGGCTTTAAATTTGTAAAGCAGATTTACAATCTCAATAAAAGTGATATCTGAACATTGGAATAAATTCACTCATTTACAAGCATAAGGATGATCAGAAACACACCCCTTAAGCACACATACAATGATAGTAATTATATTATATTTTAAGACCAGAGAACAACAGACATACCCTTCTGTCTTCGAGATCAGCAACATCATCATCAACTTCATCTTCACTGTCTTGCTCTGCGAAAACTTGCTCCAAAGCCATTGGCTGAAAGTAGCAGAAACAAATCTTAAATATGAATACTTGATGGTGGATTGCAATTACCACAATTGAAAAAAAATGCAATTTTCTTCCTACAGAATCCAGAGCAGAGAACTACAGACAAGAAACATAAAGTAAGCATAAATAATATGATAAGCTACCAGCAATTTGTATTGAATTGCAATTGAAAGTGAGAATTACAGAGAGAGATCCTGGATTTCGAGAGCCAGGTTCTCTCCCAATTGAGAAAATACTCACAAAAATTTGACGTGCCTGCCTCTCCCCCCCAAACAACTTATTTTATACTAATTCCCACTCAGAAATAAGGAAAAGTCCCATTTGCTCCTTCCCTACTAACGACCAGCACAAGCACCCGTCACCCGTTTTCTCTCTTTTTCCTTCTAGAATATATTTTCACTATTGATGGCTTATCATAATACAAACAATGAAGCCAAGCATGATAAAACTTTGGTGCACCATAATTGATTAATGTTGCAATTTTTGACCATGTTCTCATAATTTACCCACAATGACAATAGCTATCACTACCAGTGAACCTAATTCTGCCATGAAGTTCTTTACGACATAGCCTAGCAGTAGTAAGTAACTATGGATATCTACCTATGAAGACCATATCACAACCATTTTCTATAAATTAGCAAAAAGTGTTAGGTCGTAACCTGAGCTCTGTGCGAGTGAAAGAACTGCCGCTTCTGCAGGAGTGCGCGGCTGCAATAGAAAAGAAGAGTGATAAGTGGTTACATATATGCCATTTCTACATGGACCAAATTCATTTGACAGTCGGTAACTATTCCACTTAGGTACTATGCATATTCATGACCAACAGGTAGCTTCTACCAAACAGGCAGCCTTCCCACCAGAAAGTATAGAGCACCTGATGTAGTACCAGGCAATACGTCTAAAGTACCCCAAAAAAAAGAACCAGAAGAACAAAATAAATCAGGCACAGGCCAGATGATCGAAAAATATGGTAAAGTTTAAAAAAGAAAGAGCATACTTTCTAGGGTCAGATCGTTCAACAGATAACTTTCTTGTCTTTGCAAATTGCAGCATAGCCGGAGGTGCAAGGTTGCTTCCAGGTACAGATTGGCCAGATTCAGGTTCAGCAAATGAAACACCAGTAGCAATTGATACACTCGTTGCATTAGGACTGTAAGTATCACATTTTGCACCCTCAGGGACATCTGGAATTAATCAAACAATGCCAGATGAAAATAGCCTTTTTTACCCTAAAGTATTCATCATTCAGATGGTATTTATTTATACAATATCATCCACAGAAGCACCCAAAGGCGCAGACAACTCATGCGAGCGGAGCTTGCTGTCTACTCCACGAGTCGCCACAGCTTTGCCTGCGCCACTTGTATATAGACAACAATAGCGCCCAAGATTTTCCCTTCGCATAGTTCACTGACCCTTCCAACTTCACCCCATGGCCTGCGCTAAAGAAGCATGTCTTAACTAATCCCCTTGAACTCATTTCACTATTCTACCTCTCAATATCTCCACACCTTGCATATTTTCTTTCTTTTCCTCATCCCATGATCATGACTGGAGAAACAGGAATCAGAAGCGCTCTGGTAGGAGACAAGACATGACCAGCATTTAGGTCCCCGATCAATAGCTTATTGCATGGGCCCCCACACAAGTCAAATCTCTCTCACCTGTTTTTCACTTCCAACTTCTGCCCTAATGATTTTGCAATTTCAAAGCAAGAGATCTTACAGACAAATATAAACACGATTGGTTTGTTATGACAAGTTAAGAAAACCAATCCATGATCAGCGTAACTCACTGCAATCTGTTTACTACATTTCAGGTAAAACATCTCATACAATATAACCTAGAGATCACCTAAAGCACAAGCAAACACATTGGTTCTCCACAACTAATGTCATCGACCATAAGCATGAGTAAATGGCATCACACAACTTAGCTTCAGCGAATAAAACACACCACTTCTAAACTTCATAGAAAATAATATGTTTGCATGTTCAGGAAAAGTAATAAAAAGATTGCAAGGGACTAAACACGGATAGAAGTCGAACACAATGAAGTCAAGCAATCTGTCTTCTCCTTGAGCTCATTGAGCTTTGGAGGCATACCTGAATCCAACAAAAAAGGATGCACATGATTTGCATTTTGAGTTAGGTTCTTTGGTTTCCGGTGTCTCTTGGGCTTATGGCTGTATAAAGTGTTTTACACCCATATTAGTAAACTTCTTTACTCCTAATGAAATCAAATTTATCTTAATTTGTATTTTTAACAGGAGAAAAAGTTCATAACTTACCAAAATGAAAACGTCTGTTGTCTAGGATCAACGCCATCGGCAGCAATCTGAGAAGCATGCATTTCAAGGCAAACAGAGTGTTGAACAAGAAAAATACATTAGTTGATTTCAAATAAATAAAGATTACAAAGGGAAAACTATATGCAATATATAGAAGGTGTAAACCCAAGTGATGGTGAAGACACAACAGAATGAGCAACAGAACTTACAGAAGTAAAATTTAGCAACCATGGTCACTTGGATTGATCAAGGGAATATAAACAACCCACCTAAACCCTAAAGCGTTTCTTTGTTATGTAAAGGTTAGTAGAGCAGAACATTATTTTAGCAAGTCCATAAACAGAGGCAACCATCTCTGTATGGAATTTATAATAGGAGCATGTAAAGTCCACAAACAAAAAAAAATTGGCTAGATATATTTAAGTGGTTTTCTATAAATGGGAAAATACTGTGAGCAACAAATACTACCCCAAGCTACTTCAAGGTGATACTCCTATTCTTACCTCAGAATTACATATATCAGTCTTCACGGATACATTAACGACTTGATAATCTTCATTTACCTACACAATAGTAACAAAAGTATGACCAAACCAAACAAACACAGTAACAAAAGTATACTTATGACCTATTCTTTGTTCCCAAAAAAGTATGACGGTAAAAATTATAGTCAAAGATGGCAAAAAAATTGAAGATTTACAAAATTTACCAACCCAGAACTGAAAGCGAAATAGATCATGCGACGAAGTCAAGTGAAATCTCAGACCCTGAATGACATTGAGATAATCATAAAATAATCACATTAAACAAATGACTTAAAGTGCATCCTAAGAAATGATATAAACGAAGTCAGCGATATCTACCGTATAACTTGCACATCTCACCAAGCAGAATGGACATGTAAAATCTTCAGTAACTGCAAATTCAGAACAAGTAATTAGGTTCTAAAGACACCAAGCATTAAAAAATGTCATAGATTTAGAAAGAGACGATACAGCTTCACTGTGAGATGGCAAAAAAAAATTCTTTTATTGCTTGGCAAACCCTTGCCTTCCATGAAAATTAAGGGGGAGTTTGTTTAGAGATTTAAGGAGCTTATTTGTTAAGCCACATATGGCAGTTTGTTTGTGGCTTGATGATTAAGCCATCAACCACTTTCGCTTAATTGGGACAGCCATCCCCAATTGCTTAATTCACTAATTCATGTTCTTTCCAACTCTACTCTCCCCTTTTCTTTATGCGTGGACACAATTTGAGCTTTTTGACCCACCTCTTGGTATATTGGGTACGTTGGTATATTGGGATAAGTTTGCATACATCCCACCCTCTTTTAGACCCACCTCTTGGTATATTGGGCTCCTTTGGTTTGGTTATATTTCTCATAATACTAATAATTAAAGATATTTATTTTGATTTATTAAATTTCTACAGCTTATCAATGTTTTTAACATACTTTTATGTAATAATGAAATAATTCTACTAATATATAAATTAAATTGAATTTTGTATTATTTTATAGGGAAAAATGTGCGAAATAGCAATCTACTTTTACAAATTTCCTTATTATAGCATTCTACTTTCAGATTTTCTTATTACAACAATGTACTTTCAAAATATTTTTTACTAGGGCATCGTACTTTCAAAAATTTACCCATTATAGCATTGCCGTAACCTGTTACCTTTTGAACAGGTTTTTCTTTGTTGACGTGTCAAACTTAAAATGACATGGAAGCCACATATGATGACCAAACCATCTCAAGTGGTTTTGCATTAGTTTCTCTACAAAGGAGCCACCCTAACCTTCACTATATATTCTCATATATCTATCTTATCCATCCTTGTGTGTCTGCACACCACCCTAACCTTTACTATATATTCTCATAATCTTGTGACGCAATTCTGTATAGCATATCATAAGCCAAGGTTGTGGTAGCAACTAGTTACAACTACGGAAGTGATTATGCTGAAGAAAATACAGACAGAACGTCTAGCAAGCTACACGAAAATGATTGCTTCGAAAACATAAAAAGCATTGCACTCTGCCGTAGGTAAGGATACCTGTTACTAGGATCAGTAAACTCTCAACTCTAGCCACCAAGCCTTAAATATTATATCGTATCTGATGGAATCTAATTGGAGTGGCAAAAGGTAGACATGGATAAATTTGGAACATAAATTATTCTCGATCTGGAGTTGTTAGGTATTTCTGCTTAGCTATGAGGAGTGCATTTGAGGAAATTTCTCGCCAAGGAAGGACCCTGCTGAAACCTAAGTAAGTATATTAGTAAGCATGTGCAGGTCAAACATGGCAGCTCGTAAGATGCCCTTATGGTATAATAGACAATTAATTCATACACAAATTTTTTGAATAATTCATAGCTTTCTAGTGCCAACCCATCTGATGTAGGAGCTCGCACAACGCAGTGACAAGGATCTTGGTGAAAATCCAAGAACAGCGCCTTCAGGGTAATATTGCTTCATTTGGAACGCACTTTCAGATAGGAAAACATAAAAAAGTTATTTTAGAACAATGAAAAGAAATTTTAGAATTCAGTTAGCGATTCACTTTTAGACATCATCTACTTTCATGATGCTCCTTCTATAGAATTTAAAATTGTTTTTAAATTAGAATTTTCTTTTAAATGAGATGTAAGTTCTCCCATGTGTAACAGATTATCCTATGTGGCTTCCATGTCATTTTAAGTTTGACACGTCAACAAAGAAAAACCTGTTCAACAAGTAACAGGTTACCCAATGCTATAACGGGTAAATTTTTGAAAGTACGATGCCCTAATAAAAAATATTTTGAAAGTACATTGCTGTAATAAGAAAAACTGAAAGTAGAATGCTATAATAAGAAAATTTGTAACAGTAGGTTGCTATTTCATGCATTTTACCCTATTTCATAATGTATGTAAAAGACGTCTATGATGTATTTAGTGACATTTAAATATTTATTGTATGATTTTATGTTTAATGATCATTTAAGTTACTAATGAAGTTATGACGATATCATTGAATGTACATCATAATGTTATGTCTACAATAAATGCAACTTCAATTTTTGTTATGAATAATCCATGTATCTTTTTATTCAAAGGAATATTTTATTTTGGTATACAAATGAATATCATTTGGAAACTTCAATTTTTGATATGAATATTCCTTGTATCCTGTTATACAATGGTTTTAATTGTAATTTAAATTCTTAGTGAAATTATATCATTATGTTAGTCAAAGTAGTTTTTATCAAGTAATTCATAAATTGACATATTTTTGTCATTCATAACTTTTATTCAAAAAAAAAATCAGACATACATTGCTTAATCCAAACGGAAGAGTAAAACAGTAACTTTTGTGCTTCATACATAGCACACAAACTATTAACCCATTAAGAGCTTCATAGATTGGGAAAAAAATCCCCTAAGGATCCTACGATAAGACCGACAAACTACAATAAGCCTTTATCTTCTTGCTTCGGGCAAGTATTAGCATTGAAAAATCCTTACAGCAGGCAAATTGGTATGCATATACACATAATATTACTAAGAACTCAATATGGGTTGAACAATTTTACCACCAAAAATCATGTAAATCATGCAAATTGATATGCATATACACATAATACACATAAAATCATGTACCTGAGCCTCATTCTATAGAATCGTGCATCCCAAATTGAATCATAAGATTCACTCCAATGAATTGTAACTATTTTCTATGTATGTCATAAACACATATATCCAAAATACTAAGGGACATTTTTATATGAGGTGCAACAAATTACAATTAGGATCCCCAACTGCATTGACTCCATCCCTAAAGTAATGTTCCAGACCTTCACCAATCATTTTGAAGTCATTGCTTGTTAACAATTGTATCTCAACAACATGGATTTATACTTGATCTTTTGGATAGTCAATATTCTTTTGAACTAGTAGAATGGGTCATGGATTTCTCGGTATGAGAAAAGAACACAAGAAAAGTAAGAAAACAAGAGACGAAAGCCGGTATCCGAAAGTGATGGAAAGCCTTGCCAAGGTCGTGCCCTGAACCCCTTGCCAGAGTTGCTAGAAAAGAGCAAAAGAGAACAGTGCCCCTCATATTTTTAAGAATCACAAGGTCAAGCTAGGATGAAGCGAAATCATCACAAGAGTGGAGACCATGATACACACAAGAAAAACTTCCAATTGATATATTTTATATATATATATATATATATATATTAAAACGTCTATTTATACAATTTCAAAGAAGCAGTTTACCAATATAAAGGCTACTCAACCAGGATTCGATCCTTTGATAAGTTCCTATCTGATGTTTTTTTGTGTAATTGCATCGTAAGTGGTATGATTATGGCAACCTGTGACTAGTACTTTGTAGGCAAGAATTCTTTTCACAGTGAAGCAAAAAAAAAATATATGAACATACTCAGGCGGCAAAACATGTGTACAGTTGGACTATTTTTGTGAATTGTGCAAGTAGAGATGACACCTAGTAATAAAAATTACAACTAAATGCCTCTATTGTGGTGGCAAAACTGGAACCAATAAATTTCCCATACCTTCACTCCTCTGCAGCATATCGTTGTAGTACTTGTACTTGAAAACAACATTTCCAGCTCTCAACCTGGCAATAAAAGCAGCAGAAGTTATAATTGCAACTCCAAAAGTAACAAAAGGAAACCAAAGGGAGAACGAAAATCAAAAGAACCAAAATGAAACATGGAGGCAATGATGAATAATTAAAAAAGAATCAATATTTAATTGGAAAACATATCAAAAAAGAAAGAGAAAGCAAGTGTGGAAGGGAGCCACTACAAAGAAGTTCCGAGCTGCAAAAGAAGCTTCGAGCTCATGGACTGAGAACAAGTATGGATCTCTACGAGATCGATTCTCTGTTGTTCCTCACACACTTAAGTATACCTTCCTGTTGTTTGGTACAACCAAAATAACCATAGACAATAATGAAAAGTGAAATAATTGTTATTCGTCTACAAATGACGATAACAACAGCAAATAAGGTTTATAACATTCCACATAAGTTTCCAAATGCAACAAATGGCTATAGCAGGGAAAACAAGTTACAGATCCAAGAACAAGGTGGCACTGATCAGATAAATAGCTCTAAAAAACTAATACTTTTATTAAGACTTCTGGAGAAGGATGTATGCATACCTTTCTGATGCTTAATGCAACCAAAACCAACCAAAGAAAATAAGGAGGTATTCAAACACAAGTTATTTGTATAAGACAACAAATACACATAAGGATGAAAATATATAAAGTAACGTGGGGTCATAAAACCATCAAAATAATAGACATCAAACTGCAACTCCCCCAATGAGGAAGGGTCACTCATACGATTTAAATCTTCATAGCTTGTGATTAAGTAGTTCTGCACGAAATATTGTACGTGAAGACACCAAATTAATCGGCATCACTGATTTTTTCATCTTAAAATAACAAAATATCAACAAGTTAAGTAAGAATTTAAAGAGAATACTAGCTATTTTGAGAAAGCAGGTTTTGTAACTGATTACCATGATATAGAAAATAAAGTGCATACATGTAGTACCAGGAACCTATTAAGACGACTAAAACACTCTGTTTCAGCAGATCTTGAGGAGTCACCTTGAAATTAAATCAAATTACCATATTGTTAAGCCGGAAACATGAACCTGATTCAAACTTGAAGTTTAACCGAGTATTCCATTCAATTATTCGGATGCCCTTTTAGGAGTTACACCTTAAGAAGAGAGTTGTATTATTAAATGTTATATAGTGAAACCAATTACGACAGACAGGCTACTCATTAGAAAAATAGGAACCAGCAGATACACTAGAATGGAAAGATTAAACAGACTATGATACAACTACAATACCACAGCAAAGAGAAAATGCAATTTAGAAGAGATAAATGAAGCACAAAGACCATATCTACCTCACAATATGAGGCAGGGAATTATCAGGAATATCACTGTATGAATACAAATCATAAGCCGATATATCTTTTGCTCCAAGCTCCTCTGCAGAGACCATCACTGGTACCTGTTGCAATATACTCTTTGGCACCATAAAATGAACTTAAGAGCAGTAGGAACATAATCATTAATAAGTTAATCACATAGCTACAAGGGAACATACCACAGCTTCTGAATTATACTGAAACCGAAAAGATATACATTTTTCCTCATCCAAACCACTCAACTGCAAAAGCAGACCCAGTGATGAAAATGAGAAAGAAAAACACAAAGACATAGAAGCAATAAACTAATCCAGCCTCTTCCCCCTTTTGCTTGGTGAACCATATTTGTATTATATGTCTGTACATAATACATAGAGTTGGGTATGTGTGACTTCAATTCTTTGGATAGTGACCCACAATCAAGACCTGGAGTAAGAATGCAGCAAACTTTTACATCTATATCTATACCCCCAACCACCAACACCCCCTGCTGCAGTGCTGCCTCACTGCAATGGGTGGGATAGGCCCAGATGAGATTCAAACCATAGGGTAAGGCCATTTTTGCACTAGATTATCAGTCTATCACATAATATCTTGGTCTCCCTATAATAAAGCCTTAGATTCCAGTAGTTTCTTTAACCCAACATTTCTCCTACCATGTGTGAAAAGGGAGAGCCGACCAGGTATGGCACTTTGTACTACCTTACACGTAAATAAAAATGCATTTGACCTTCCAAATCTGGAACAATAGATGGAATATGATAGAAGGTCATCCATGGTGGTCATCTTTCTCTTGACACTAGCATACAAATACAACTTCACATATATGTCTGTAAGCTGATCCTTTTAACTTTTTAATCTCATGTGAGTTCAAATAAATATATTTGTATATTGGTTAATTCATAATAGCAATTTGTGGGCGTGCATATGTAAGACTGTAAGAACAGGTGTGGACCCAAGGGAGTGAATCACTACAACAATTTCCTGGTAGAACAAATGTAACTAAACAATAAAATGCATAGAAGCCTCACAACGTCTCATTTTAACCACTCTTTGCCATATTATATAATTTGTAATTTTTCTACCCCAAAGCAAGCATACCTTCATATCGCAGTAACGCATGCTAACACTAGCCATCATCTCAGCTCTTCCCCCTAAACTTAAGTTTGGAGATCTCTCCCATGACAGATGAAGTAAATCCATCGGGATCTTCCCCAACAAGCAGTTACCTTCAAACATTGCTGTCAACGATGTACAAATGAGAAAACAGATACAAGAAACAAATATTTATAAAGGGATTCATGTCGGTGCATGAAGAGACCAAAATAAAGTCTAAAAGATTGGATAAGATGCTTCATGCTATACACTATAGTGAATTCAGACAGAGGGTGGCAGTCAACCAAGGGATTGCCTCCTTCCAATTGTTATTTTGTTCACTGGCTCGCTGCAATCATAGAGGTACGACCCAATACATGATCCACTTGGAAACAACTCAAATTAATAGTCTTTAAATCCAAAATAATAAAATGGACTCCAAAGATATATATATATATATATATATAGAGAGAGAGAGAGAGAGAGAAACATGCAAATCCCACAGACCTATGTCCCAGCCATCGTAGCATGTGTATCACCCGGGAATCGTTGTTGCTTTCTTTTCCACTGGCTACTACGATGTTTCATGTGAGGTTTTTTAAGTCCACTGGCGAGATACACACAAAATGTTTTTTATAATCAATTTGATCCGATTTGATCGGTTCAATACAATGTTGTCAATATAAAGGTTAAGAAAGAATACAACGGAAAAAACCAGGGGACTGGATCTAGCCGTAAGAAGACAGATTTGTTTAAATAACTCACAATCTACTCAAAAGAGAAGCTTGTGAATTGAGTAATTAGCTGTCATCCAAAAAAATTTATTCAAATTGCATTCTTCTACTTTTGAGTTCACATAAAAATATCGCCAAGAGTTTCACACAACAAGTTGTCTCAGAAACACATGTGGAAAGTCCCATCTACATTATGTTCCATAAGTCTATATCCAAGCATCAAGAGGATATAGCTTGGCATGGTACAAAACCAAACCAAATAGACCGAGAATATCCCACTCGAAGGCAGGGTTTAGGAGGGATGGGATGCACACAGACATGTCCTCTAGCCAAAGGGTAGAGTGGTTGTTTCTGTGAAGACTACCGACTCGTGCAGAAGTGTGAGTGAAAAGGAAAAGGGAAAGAAGAAAACCAATACTAGTAAATACTCCCTCCGTCCCAAAATAAATGTCCACAATGAAAAAGGCACACAATATTAGACATATATAATTATTACATTTTTAGATAACCTAGGACATTTTTGCCCTTAATAATAGATGGAATAATTAATTTCTTCGTTTCATAATTAAGGGTAAAACTAGAAAGTAGGTATTTACTTTTGAAAGTGGGCACTTATTTTGGGACAAACAAAAATAGAAATTTGGACACTTATTTGAGATGGAGGGAGTAGTTAATAGCATAAAAGGAAGAGAAGGGCAATAGGCACAATGAAACATACAAAGTAAGGAAACAACACACATCACTCCATCTATCTTAGGACTCAACCTCTCACTCCCTTCTTTCTATCCACACTAGCTACAAATCGCTATCCTAAATCTACTACCTAGTCATGTTTTTCCAATAACTTCTATATGAGTTTACATATAAAAGAAGATTTAAGTAGTTTAGTTGTAAATAAGTGGAGGGTAGTTCGGTATTTTCTGAATAGAATAATAGAGACAATTCCTTTATATTGGGAAGTTCGTTAGTGGAGTTGACATTCGGTTTTGTGAGATCGAAAAAGGGCGCAAGCTCTCTAGGGAGAGAACCGGCCTCTCAAACCCTCTGTAATTCCATTTCTTTACTCAATTCAATAAGAAAGCTACCGACAACAATCAATTTGCATCAGTTATGTCCTCAAAAAAAGATTTGGTCCTTCTATTGCATGATATCCAAATACCAGCCGCAGGATAGCAAGGGAGTTCGATATGTGAAAAAGAATTGGTCCCTCTGTCCAATCGAAAGTGCATGTTTATGTTTTGTGATGCACATGAAATTACAACATTTCCTCTTTTCGTAACTTCTGAAACTAATAGTAAGTTTCTCATCGGCATCATTAAAAAGAGTTGATGACATTAATATGGTCCACAAGACTTCACTACTTATCATCATCAAAGAGTTGCCAAGTCATTTGACTAATAGCCAAACGCTAACTAAACTATGAGCTAAATCCAAGATTGCAATTTCCATGGGCTGGAGGGAGTATAAGAAAGAAGCAAAAAATAAAATATCGTTATATCTAAATGATGATCCAAAAGAAGCTCATAGCATGCATGGCTCTAAGGAGGACAATAACTAATTGAATTGATCATTGGATTAACTATTAAAAGCCAACAACTATGACATGACAATGGATATTACATAATAAAGCGGTGACATTTCCCTAAAGGCTCTTAACTTCATTCAATTTACACTGTTACTACATATGACTCATATGGGAATGCCTATAACAGCTCAAACATTCATTCTTGCATGCATGGTGATACTTATGCCGATAATGATGCAATAACTTTGTTGAATAAAGATGGAGTTAAATCTCAACAAGCAAAAAAGCAAACAAGAAGCACAATTAAGAATGCAACAATCTGGATGGACAAGTTCAAGGACAACTATCACTTATCCTGATGATGAAATATGAAAATCAATTCAAAAATATCTTTTCCTGAAAGCATATCTTACATGAAGCAGAAAAAATGTGGTCCATGGTCAGATCAATTCCTTGACAATTTGTGATAGCAGCTGTAAAGTAGAAAGAACGTTACCAACTGAAACAAACAGAACATACACATCCTCTGGATATGACCAAACTTGCAAACAATGCCATACCACAGCTCACCAACAACATAGCAAGAGAGCCAGATTTGACCTCTGCTGATAATTTGCTAATCTCTGGCAGAAGAAATTTGGCATGAGCAGCACTCTGAGTCTCGGCTCCATTAAAAGCAGTCAATCTACAAGCCTGACTGAAGCGATAAACAGCTGAATGCTGCATCTAAAGACAAGGACCAAAAAGTCCATATGGTGTCAGAATAAGCAAGTGAAGATGCAAAAATAAACATAAGAATTCACAGGAAACTAAAATCAAGAGCACTACCTCCATGTTTGTGGTAGAAAGTGGCCTCGCCAATAACACGTACAATGGAAAAAGGTTCTGAGCATACATTCCATCATTAATAGCTCCAGATATGGATACTGATATTTGAATCCTAGAATCAACAGAGGCATAACTGTTATGAACGAAGATTAATCATGTCAGCGTAATTACAATCAGCAAAATCTTTTATCCCAAACTAGTTGGGATAGACTTAGAATGATAGGGAAAAGATATGAAACAATAAACACTTTGAAATACGAATAGTATCCCTTCACCCTCTCCAATGTAAAGCATATTCCAGTCCTTCAAAAACACTTTTGACTACTTATGCATGTTAGTCTCAGCCTTAGCCTTCCCGGTGTCTCCTAATGCTTCTTCCTAAACAAGTCTAGACCCTTTCACTGATGAATCAAAGATCTACTCCATGGTAAAGACAACCAACCATCTGAAGCAGTGTTGCACCGGTTTATCTTCTACTGCGCCAGAAACCTCATCTAATCCTATCCATCTCATTTGTCCACATATCAACGTTAACATTTACGCTTCTCAATCTCATACTCGTACTTTGGGCTTACATTGTCTCTTAATTAGTAACCCAACATGCTAGTCCATCTAATGGCAGGCCTCTCTTGAAACTGTCCTTCTGTAATATCGACCCTCTAAAAACATCCTTTTTAAGCACCTTCTATCGTCTAAGCTCACTACCATACATCCTTAATACCAACACCACTAGACTTGACTTCTTGTATTAATTCTTTTCAGTCCTAGGAGACACAAATGACAAGGTTCCTCGGTTTTACAAATATCAGGGAGGGAAATCTATATATGCAACAATTCCCTTAGTTGTTGGTAAGCGCTTGTCTACAAGTTCATCACGGTCCTAAGGGAACTCCTTGGCAACCATGATGCTAGGATACCAACCGGCAAAACATTGATTTTTTTATGATGCAACCAAACATAATAGTAAAAGTCCACTGTATGTACAAATAGCTGGCATTATTTTGTAGCATTCTTGCCTTCGTTTGTTCTTTGCTTGTAATTTGTAACGCAAGCATCTTTGAAGAAATAATGGCTGCATGAAATTAAACCATCAGTTAGAAACAAAACATAAGGGTATCATGACAAAATATCTATAAACCAAGCCAAACCAAACCAAACAAGCTCAGCAAATCCCATCTGGAGGTGGGGTATGGAGGGGTGGGATGTATGCAAACTTGAGCTCCACCCCAGAGAGTAGAGCAATTGTTTCCGTGATGACCCCCGATGCGAAGTGTGCGGAAAAAAGGATAAAGCATGCAACAAAAATATCTATTGCATATGAAATCATAACTTTTAAACTCATGGATACAATATGTTTAATGTTTTAGGCATCAACATATGGAAGCTGTCTCATTAACATGTTAGCTCAGGAATGTCAAATGTGACTGACATAAAAGCTAACAATGACAGTAAGTTATTCCACTAAATGTCAGCCACTAAGCACATGCAGATAAAGCATGATATCTGTGATTGATAATATACATGAATTAAAATGTCACACAATCTCCAATCTACATCAACCAATCATACCCTATAAGATGGTAAATGAATAAAAATGGACAAAAGAGGGTCAAATTAAGTGGTCACATTATTTATTGCCCGGCGTTGAAGAATGTTGTATAATTCAACAGGCTTGCAGTAAACTGAAAGGCTTTCTTCAGCTGCATTTTGCTCTTCCTGAGACAATTGAATATGAGGTTCTTGGCGGCACATCTGACCTGAACCTCTGGAGTAACTGCAATTGCAAACAGAATTCCTGTTCCATGAAATTGCATAAGATGAAGATAACTATGCATATATATATATATATGTGTGTGTGTATACTAAGTGATGCTTAATTCCATACACAGAGGCAAGCATCATACATGGTTTCTCGAGCAACTAAAGTTATGCCAGGCATTCTTTTTAAACAATGTCAAATTGCAAACTCATAGCTATCTGCACCTATTCAGAGAGAGTCAGTTTTGGCCCCTGCAGACCTGCAATAAATAAAGCTAGTGAATTAGTCCAGTTTAAAGAAAATACTTCTGATGAAGCTTTAAGTGATGATAATGATGCCTAATCATCTGAAACACTGATCCTTGACATCTCCACTCAAAAGTGAAACTTTTTGGTACTGTCATGCTCTCCCGTGCAACAGCCTAAATTGTAAAAGTTTTGGCTGTAATAACGATTTTCATGACTCCCCTGATTCCCCACTTTTGTGGTACAATAATTGGGTTCCGTCAAAGTTTACCTTTCCTAGAATTTCCTTTTCACATGTTGATATCTTCTACAACTACTTACGACACTTCACTTCTTGACGCTCATCGTCATATCAGCACTCTTATCTACCGAATCCCATATAATCTATGATTGACTTAAACTTCAAATCTTATGATGACTTACATTTATAGATGCTAACATAAACCGACAAGAATAGTGTAATTAAACAAGAATTCCTCTAGAAAATTATGGTATAAGCATATAATTCCCGATGATTATATGAGTGGCATTGTCTCCTTGTTTATTCAGCCTCGCAATCTCGCAATTTCCAATTACTTGATAATCAGTGAAGCATACTGACTCAAAACGCAGCAGAGAAAACACAATTAAACAATTCCATAATCGAAAATCAGCTAACCAGAAAATAAACAACGACACAGGCACAACCATCGAGTACAGAATAATTCGATTAAGATCAATAAGGTAATTGATTGAGGAATGGTTGTATACTCGTATGTCAGCTGAAATTAACATACAAAATCAAAACTAAATTGAAGATAGCTGATAATTACCTCCGATGTTAACCCTAGTCTCGTTTCAGGGAGAAGGCGAGTTCAGATAACGGAGAGCAACTGCGTCAGTGAGGTGATTGTACTGCAATGGGCGTTTTGTAATTGCCGCTTAACAAAGCATTTCAGGGGGTGCTTTGATTGTATTTGTGCGCCTCCAAATAATACTAATAGAAGTTAATTACGAATTTCGTCCGTGTAGTTTGGTGTTTGTTATAAAATGGTCCTTAAACTTTATTCATTGCAGAACGGAACTCCTCGTTTGCATGTTTGTAACAATTTGATCCCTCACCCTAATGGCTAGGGGTATGCAGAAAATCATCCGATCCAATTTAAACCGATTAATCCAATTAGAACCAACCGACCATAATTGGATATCCAATTGTAATTGGATCGGATCGAATCCAAAATTTCAACATCCAAATCGGATCGGTTAATTATTGGATGGCAGTCCAGCATCCAATAAAACCGAATTGATCCAATCCAATTCCCTATCCAATAACCATTCAATCATCATCAAACTATATTCAATTAGTAACTATATATAATTATTAACATTTTAAGATATTATTTTTTATTGATATTTATGTACGTTGTTTTTTTAATAACTAAATAAAATTTATAATAATTGGTTGAAATGGTGGATTAATTGGTTGAGTATTAGATCAAAAAGATTGGACGAATCCAATCCGACCCAATGGATAACCAATAGTAACATCAAATGGATGGAACTCATCCGATCCAATCATCCATTGGATTTAGATCGGATTGGATGACAAAATCCAACATCCAATTGATGATAGGATCGGATCGGATCGGATCCACTAAATTCATTGGGTTTCAACACCTACTATAATCACTAGCTACAAGGGCATTTTCGTCTTTTTGCCATTTTTACTTTAACATTAACTCTTTGTTGTCTTTTATATTTTTTTGTCTTTTGCCCCAAGCGTTGACGCAATTGGCAAAGTGCGTTGAACGATGTTGCCCAAATACATAACAAGTTCAAATCTTGTGGGAGGCGAGCTTACCCCCCGGCGCCCCAGTCTTTGCCGCTAAGTCAACTATGAAATGTCTCATTATATGTGGTTCCTAAAGAACGGGTTCTGTGTGGGATTGGTCGGAATTGCCGGTAATCATCTTTTTTGTTCAAATATCTTTTGTCATTTTTGTGATTTTTTTATTTTAATATCATACATCGGAAGGTTCAGATAAAAATACTAAATATCACGATGAGATACAAAAAAAGAAGGTTAATGTTGGTTCATACGTGAATAATTGAGTAGTCCTAAAAAATCTATGTGAACATGCATATATGAACTGAGGTTACGGACTATTCATATAAGTTCATATGTATAACTTCAAATGTATTTTTTTCAATATATATGTATGTATGTATGTATACACACTAGCAATGTACCTGCAAATCTAGATAGTGTAGTTTTCAACCCCATAGTAGTTATTGTTTCATGCTTTTAAAGTCCAACTCATGTATTAGTGATTTCTACATTTTACAACTTGTAATAAAATTTGAAATTTATGTTGAAACAAAATAGAAAATAGAATCATTTGATAAGCAATATGACAAAATATTACTCCATGCATCCCATATGCAAAAATAATCGTTAATTATATAATGTTTAATAATTAATCACGCATAACTTGTAGAGTATGAAACCAATAATTTGAAGTGAGGGTGGGATTGGATCAATAAGCAATTCTCAAAAAGCAATTACATGATCCATTCTTATGATTTAAATGGCCCAATTAGTTATTGTTTCTTTGGTTGCAAAAAACCTTACCACTATTGTATCTTTCTTCTTAAACAACTAATATATTTTTTTAAACAAAATAAGGCAAACTTAACTTTAAGTCAACTAACAAAACCTTGGAATGTGCTATTGGATTAACATGGCATCCAAGACCTACCTCACGCCATAGCAGCCTTTTAGAACCATGCCTATAGGCTAATGTGGCATCCAAGACGTGTGTCACACCATATCGAGCCTTTTAGAACCATGCTCATAGGCAGCTTGGCCATGCAACCTGCAAGTATATTTGAAATGGTTCCATATCTAAGGATACAAATGCAGACTTGGAATCATGTTGTTTTTGTTAGACCCGTGAGATCACAACAGAATACTGTGAAGGTGTTTTTGCTATGAAGGTTCGGTATTTTTTGTACCTTCATGGTGTTCTATTGTGAAGTTTCAGTGATATTTTATGGTCTCACAAAAACATGTTGGTCTCACATGAATCCAACCCAACAATGTATCCATGAATCAGTCTTCCTACTTGCATAAGAGAAAAGGCAGGCAAGAAGAAAAGATGATACATACAGGGATGGCTATGGACACAAAAGAAGTGAAAAAAAGAACACTACCCAATTGGTATATTATTTTGAAGGACTGTTCAAACAATACAATAGTTATGTCTAAATGCTAAACATTTAAACCGAAATGAATATTGGCTTATAACTGCAGCCAAAGTAAAGAATGGTAAAACGATACTAGCAGTAAACTCTTGCAATTTGTACACAATCAGACACTTGAAAGAACCACAACTATGATAGCTTACAGACCAATGATATGAAAAGCAAAGAGCAAGAAACTTCAAAGGCAATAACAGTATTCTAACGTAGCCAAGCGTAAGCTAGGCTGAGCAGCAACCACCCTTCTGGCCAACGGGTTGCCCTTTAAGCTGCACAGAAGGTGGCCTCATGCTGTTCGCTCCTGGCTGACTTGCCATCCTGCAGCAAACCATGATTTACACACCCAAACAGATCATTCTCCATTAATTTTATTAAGAAAAAGAAAAGAGTTTCTATTTGTAAATGATTCAAGCTCGATGTATTTTTCTCAAAATCTTAAAAAGGGATTCCATTTGCTTGACTTGAAAAGTAGAATTATATATGATTTGGTCAGAAAACAGAGGGTACCTATTTTTGATATCCGCAGACATAGCCATGAAAGCTTGCTCAACATTGGTAGCATCTTTGGCACTAGTTTCCATAAACGGAATGCCAATTTCATCGGCAAATTCCTAAACACAAAAGGGGAGCACCAGATTTAGCTCCCTTATAAAACTCATCCATCCTTCTACTAGAGAAGAAACAAAAACAATATATATACATGCATATAAGATGTGAGGATACCTGGAACCCCTTTGAATCTCTCTATAATAGCCTTTATAGATAGATAGGGGGTTACCACATATGCATGTTTGATGGTTCGTGTCTAGCCGATGCGGGACTCCAACACGTCCCCTCAAAGGAAGACTAGAAGGTGCCCCCCCAGAACGGAGGTGAAAGAGTGTGTCGAGACCCTAAATGTGGTAGACCCAACTCTTATACCATGTGAAGATATGTGGAACCCCTTTATTCTCTCTCTAAAAGAGCCCTTACCCACACAAAGAGAGAGAGAGTGGAAATTCCTACATATATACAACTTTGATGGTCCGTGTACGATGTGAGACTCCAGCAATAGAGTTGCCAAAACAAAATAAATCCGTACCTTAGCAGTGTCATACGACACAGCTCTGCTTTCTGCAAGATCACATTTGTTTCCAACAAGAAGTTTATTCACATTTTCACTTGCATAGCGATCAATTTCACTCAACCATTGCTTAACATTGTTGAAACTTTCCAGATCAGTGACATCATAAACTATCTGCAGAAAAATAAAAGGCCAAATGAAAACTTTAGGAGGACCCAAAATTCATTCAGTGGACTGTAACAGATTTGCTTCTAATGTCTTTCTATGACTTATTGTTAGGATACATAGCAACCATTCGATTTTCTTTCTAAAAGAGCCCTTATAGAGAGAGAAGAGGTTCCTATTTGATGGTCCTTGACTGATGTGGGACCCCAACACTTTTCTCTTATCAATTTATAATTTTGTAGTTCTTCAAGGATGTTTGGCTCAAGGAAGGGAAGGGACTGGACAGGAATGGATGGGCAAGAATGAGGTGGGCAGGTGAAAAAATTCCGGAGGTTTTAGGGTTTTAATTTGACATGGGTAGTTTAGTAATTTATCAACCTTGTCTCATCTCCCTGATTTTTGTTCCATCTATTTTCACAGGACATAAAATATGTGTTCTTGTTTGATGTATTATCCAGTCTAATGTCACGCCAAACACGGGACAACAAGTTTTTGTTTTGTCCTGTCCCGTACAATATAGACGAATACCAAACGCATCCAAAGAGATTTAAGAATTGGAAAGCATACTATAATGCCATGTGCTCCACGGTAGTAGCTACTGGTAATTGTCCTGAACCTTTCTTGTCCAGCAGTGTCCCACTGCATTGTCCACGGAGATGGAAGATTAGCTGATACAAATATCATTTAGATCAATTCTTTTTACATATTTTCAGAAGAAAGCCCTCACAATTTGAAGCTTAATGGTCTTCCCATCCTGCTCCACAGTGCGAATTTTCTGTGCAGAGTAGATGAGAAAATAAAACCATCATTAGACAAAAAGTAACCATGATAATCTGTAAACATGTTTTACTTGATACGATGTACAAAAAAATACATAATGTTAGGTTCTTACGAAATCCACACCAATTGTGCTGATGTAGCTATCAAGATATGAGTCATCCTATATCACAGAGATCAAAACAAGAAATAAGAAGATGCGGCATATAAATGGTGTGAGTTGGCAAAAGAGAAAAAACAACCAATTTATCACCACAACTGGTTACATTTTAACAGATTGTTCAGACCCACCTTTTATCTTACCTAGCTACTAACTTAGAAGAGAATAAGATGAAACCAAACAAGATGAACCCAGTACATATCACTCAAAAATAATGTCTGGGAGGGTGGGATGTAAGCAGAACTGTCCTCTACCTAGGGGTAAATTTAAGAAAAGAGGGAGGGGGCGCCCGTGCAACAGGTCTATAGTGCCGACACATTGGAAAAATTGTCTTAAAGGTCCTTCTGTTTTAACTTGATGTTTGCTCCCATAAGTTAACAAAAAGTGGCTACAACCTCCTGTAGTGTCATTGCATGTGGAATTTGAGGTTTGCAAGTTCAAATCCTTTGGGCTCTTTTTTTTTTTTGTTTTTTGGTGACAAACAGAAAAAGAAGGAAAAAACCACTTGGGTGTTGCAAAAAACCACTTGTATGTCATTTTTAATTAAACCGCATTTTTTATAATTAAAATTCGTTTTAATTTATATCATACTAATTATTTGGTGCCCCTGCTTGGAAATTTTTCTGGATCCGCCTCCAAAGGAAAGAGTGAGCAAAAAGTAAGACTAACAAAGACTAGTAAATAGTAAATAACTATCAAGAAAAGGAGTGAGAAGGGATGCAAAATATGAGAAAAATGTACTCTACATACAGAAGTAAGTGATCCTTTGGATTATATTCATCAAAGATCAAGCTGGAAGTGCAATATTGTGTCAAACAGAGAAATAAAGCACCAGAACGTGGCATTAAATAAACAATTAGCACATGCCAAACAGGCAACCCATCTTAAAAGATTAATACAAGTGGTAATACTGTCTTACAGCAAATCTAAGCAGGAGACATGATTTGCCAACTCCTGAGTCCCCAATCAGCAAAAGCTTGAACAAGTAATCACTGCAATGAACATGGCAAGGATTACAGTCAGAATAGAAATAGCATATGTTCGTGAACGAAATTGAATGGATTTCTAATAACTGTAGTGCTTCTTACAAAGCATATCAACATGATGGTGGATGTAATGGAAGAAGGGTTTTAGCTAATGCATAATCAAGTCAAACCCTTGTTAACAAGAGCCATTTTCTACCTAAAACAGGGACGCTTCGAGCTCATTGATAACAAATACATAATTATATTCACATACTTTCAGCTTTTGTAGCAGCTGCAGAATGATCAAGATATCTGTGTTGGAGTCTCACATCAGCTAGACACAATCACATTGGCCATCAAACATATATATATATATATATATATGTGTGTGTGTGTGTAGGAACCTCCCCTTTCTGGGTTCTTTTAGAGAGTGATTCAAAGGGGGTCTCACATATCTTAACACTCTGCTAGGCCACAATGGCAAAATTAATCTCATACTGCAATTAAAATATTAAATAAATGCATTTGAAAGCTAGAAATTGCACCAGTATAATGCCCGTCTGATTCCAAAGCCTCATGATACATATAAATTACTATTCACCACTAATCGCAACCATTCATACATTTCAAATCCATCGAAGATCAACAAAGTTTTCGCACATGATATTGGAATTTATGCGTTTAATTTGGTAAATAGGAATACAAACAACAGAAATCACAATTCACACAGTCATTTCGACGATAAAACAAATCCAATTAGATTAACCAGATCAAGAAGCATACAATTAACGAGTTAAGCAGATCTAAGACGCGAATAATTTAAAAGCAAAAAGGAAATTGGAAATCCTGCGTCTAAGAAAAAAGAGATCGGGGACCTACTACTCATGATTCATGATAGAGAACTTGAAATGATGCAAAAAATGGCCGACTTATGGAACGGTGAAGGAAATCCCTTCCGACGGCCGATAAAGTGGATCTTCAGCGGCGAAAACCGAAAGCAGAAGAGAAGAGAAGAGAAGGATTATTGGACCTTGATTCTTGAAAGTGGAAACAAAAATGGAAGGCGATGGAAGGGGGTGATATAGAACAGAGAGAGGGAAACAACCGACAGTGTGTAACAAACATGGGAATTTACGAGGCCTCTCCGCTTTTAACCTTAATTTTTTAGTAAATTATTTTAATTTAATTGTTTATATATATGTATTTTAAAAAAAATTCCAACAAAGTAAATGTTTAAAAAATTAGGTAAAAAAAGTTGGGTGGAGGTTGGTCGTCTCTTTTATTTTGGGTAAATTACTTGATTATATCATTTTAAATGAAAATTGGATAAAATAGTCATTTAACGCCGATAATAGGAACCAAACAACGTCAAGTGATAGGGAAGGATCGATATTTGAAGCCTCATAATTCAAAGAGATGTAAACATCAAGGCATGTGGACACACAACCTAATTTGGGTATCCATATAATATATACTTTATAAGAAAATAAATTATGTTGAGAAGCGTGAGAAGAAACATGAATTCTTGATCACTTTTAAACTCATGTCCACCTATGAATTATGCTTTAGAAGAGAATTGATCTGCTATATCACGATGCACCTCAGTAGTGTTGACATTCAATTACGATTGATCCAATGATGAAGATCTCTTCTTATTCTTTTCACCGTAACTTCTCTTCTTACAGGAACCCAACCCCTATATATATATAGAGAGAGAGAGAGAGCGCTAAGATCATTTGTTAACCATAAAAAATATATTAATATACAAACTATTTAAATCAATCACAAAGTCTTTGTTAATACATATTATCTCTTACCATGAAACTAATTTTAAGGGTATATTTGTAATTTTTTGTCTAGCTTCCAATGTCATCAAATCCATGATTCTAACTAGTGATGGCCAAACCGGCCCGGATCGGTTATGGGACCACCTGTAACACCCTAAAAAGATTATAAATTAAACCGAAAATATATATAACGAGAACCAAAATCTTAATATAAAAATTCACCCAACAAAAGAGGAAATAGAATAGGGTTTACAAATCAGCTACTGAGAAGATAATTAACAACCTACTAATCTAGATTATACTATATCTAGATTAAAGACGGGTGTTTCTATCAATCTCCAAAAATACCGGAACATCAAAAACGCAGCGCTTGAAAGTAACAAAGGCTATACTACAAAAGAGTCTTTCATGAACCAACGCTCCTCTCAACCCTTTTGAGCCCCGCTGCTAAAGGAACCTGATATACAAGCCATATCAAGAAGAAGTGTTAGGCTTACGCCTAGTGAGTTCAAACGATGAGATAAATAAGTATATAAAAACATTATATGAAAATATGCACGTAACGTAACTTTAAACGATACAAGGTGAACAATTAATCCTAAATAACTCGAGATGGAACCAAGACATCTGAAGATGACGGGAGAGACCCGATTTACCATTAATTATGACGGAACACAAAGTAAGTCATAGATCAACGTTATAGAGCATCACTCACCGGTATAAAACCATCGACATCAACCTAAACCAGTCATGTAGTCGGTCGTGATCATAAACTCTTTATCTCGGAAATTACATAATAATCACAATGCCTATTTCCGAGTGGGAGTGAGAAGGTGATTTGGAATTTACATAATGATCACAATGTCTAATTCCAACTTACACCAACCTTCACACAAAACAAATAAAACGACTATGCACACCTTTAGGTTCAATATAATCCAGTGTGGTACTTAAATACAATGCCAAAAGCATCTTAGTACTCACTTATCCGGATGATTCCATGCACATCCTAGCTCAAGCGAGTTATCCCTTACTTGCCAATAAGAACTCCAAAGTAAGGGTATGAGTGCTTTAGAGCTAGAAGATCATCAACACAACAACAATGGGTATTTTACGAAGTGATTGAACCCCTTAATCCAAATCAATCTAATATTAATTACAGAGTTTACCTAAATCAACCTTTTGACCCAAAACCTTCATTTCAACTAAGTAGGTAAATGTATGAAGTTTAAGCATAAGGTAATTAAGGTGTTTCGTATCTACATCATAAGGTCTCAATTAGTGAAATTAAGTTGAACTCACAATGGAGGGTTTAGGAGAAATCCCCAAGTCTTGAACAATTAAGGTGGACGGAGAGGAACGAAGAAACAGCACGGTTGTGCTGTTGAGGCTTACTGATGCTGCCCTCTAAACTGGTGTTGACTGCTTCTGTTGTTCGACGAGGGACAACGATGACGGCTGCGAGGGATGGCTACAACAACGTTTGCTGCTTGTCGATGCTGTTGTGGTTGTTGTTTGACGAAAAAGAACGAAGGGTAGGGCGGTAGCGCCTGCTACCTGCTGCTGTCGCTGCTGTTTGTTAATCGAAAAGAAGAGAAACAGCACAACAGTCCTCCTTGCTGCTGTTTGTTGTCCGTTGTTTGTTGCTGTTAGGTGCGGTTCGAAAAGTGGAGGTGACGAGGGGCAAGGGCGAGCAGCGAAGAAACAACTTCGACAACGACTGCTGTTCGTGTTCGAGAAGCAACAGAAAAACGCAGACAACCTTGCTGCTGCTGTTTACCGCAAGGCGAAGTACAGTAGGGGTCCTCTGCTCGGCAAAGGAGGCGAGGAACATGAGCCTGCTGCTCGTGGTTGCTGCTGCTGTTTGCTGTGTGGCGAGGCACACAGTAGACGCTGTTCTGGAGAAGAAAACGTAGGAAGACAGCTCCTGTTGTCGGCTGTTGAAGGTCCGAGAAGCGACCGAAGAGTGCAGGCAGCCCTTGTAGCTGCTGTTTGACGTTCCGAGAAGCGACAAAAGAGAGCAGGCAGCCCTTGTAGCTGCTGTTTGAGTAAAGATGGTGCAGAAAACACACAACTAATGCTGCTGTTTTGGCGTGGCAGCGAAGGCAACGCAGCGGCTCGATAGAGCTGGTTGTTTTTGCTGCTGTTTTGTGCAGATCGAAAAGGACACAGCAGCCCTTCTCCTTGCTGCTGCTGTTTGATGCAGATCGAAAGGACACAGCTGCTGGTACTGGTCTGAGGAGGCGATGAAGTGCGCAGCAGAGCTGCTGTTTGGGCGAGGGAAATGAAGAATCCGCACAGCAATGCTGCTGTTTCCTGTTTGCTGCCCGTGGCTTGGCGAGGAGACGACGGCCTGCTGGTTGCTTGTCTGCTGCTTGGTGAGGCACAGCAGTACCGGCTGTTCGGGCAAAGAAGAAGGAGAAACAGCGCCTGATGTTTGCTGTGAGTTGCTGCCGGACGTTGTTGCTGTAAGGCGAAGCACAACAGCTTTTGTTGCCTGAAGTGGCGCGGCAGTGCCTTCCGCCTGGAGGATCCGAAGTGCGGGAGCGACTGGAGTGATGTGCAGACTTGGCCGGCGCTAAGAAGGTCACACCGAAAATCTGCAGCTTCTTCCTTAGTGTTCTTTTCTGCATGAAGCCACCCCCTCCCTTCTCTCTCGAACGGCAGCTCTTGCTGTTTCTTCACTTCCTCAAATACTCTCCCAGTGGAAGAGATGATCTCCCTTTTTCAAAACCCTCACCCCCACCTACTTTACCTTTTTACTATTCTTCCCCAAATATGAATCTGTAGGCAAAAACCTGGATGCAAAAGAATTAAACCTATATAAAGTAAAGGGAGTCTATAGGTAGGGAAAAGGCAGAACCTAATCCCCCCTTTACATTTTTTTTTATATAGTCGTTAATTAGCCATTTTTGACCCTTTTTTTTGCATTTTTTGGCCTCTAAACACTATAAATATGTAACAAGATTGAGAGGTTTACATACTGAGTTCTCAATTCGTAAAAGACGCAAAAACGTTCACAATTCTCATAATAAAACATGTTTTTAAAGTGTATTTTTGAGTGACTCGTACAATAAATTTAGTAATGTATTAAAAATATATATTATTAAAAAATTAAAAAAATATTTTCTTAAGGGTGGGACCGGGACCGGCGGCCCATAACCGATTATAAACTAGCCTGACCGGTCTTCATCTATTCGACCGGGACCGGTTATAGCCAGTTATGAGAAATCTTGCGACCGGTTGTGACCGACCCGACATGGCCCGGATTAATTTTTGGCCATCACTAATTCTAACTAAATTAACGGTTTTATTTATTTTTTATATGATTAATGAATTTTTTTTGTCGTAGAAGAAGAAAATATGTTTTCACAAATATATATATGCTAGAAGCGTACTCGCGCAATGCAGCGAGATACATCGTGATTTTAATATTTCATTTTATTCTTTATCTCAGTCAATGTTATAATATGACTTTATGTGATTTTGAGAAAGCGATGTTTTTATTTTTAAATAAAATATATATTTGAAGATATCATAAAAATTTGACAAAAAATATCGATATTAGTATCAAATTA